AATTGGCCTAAAATTGAATTCTGAACAAATTTTTTTTATTCTTGTCTTTATAACATTTTTTTTTAGGTTTAGGTTCATTACCCGCCATAAATTGGTGTATTTTTTATCGATTTAACTTTTCTTTCTTTTCAAAGCATCGATAAATTTCCATATGGAAGGATGTATATACTGCATTTAAAATTGAATTAAATGAATTGTGCCAGCCTTCTATATATTGAGTTATTGGTATAGGGTATAGGGCAAATTATTTTCAACTAAATCAAAACAATTCCATAGTTCTATAAGAAATTTTGAATTGCGTCTCCGATTTCGGATATTACGACCAATCTATATTTCCTCAAAACAGTTAAAAACTTGTGTTAATTTTACGTCATTCTGATTGTAAAATTCTGTGTTTAAAATCACTTCGTAAGCATTAATTACATGAAGTTTGGGAACATAAGCTAATGCATTTAACATCCTAATATTTAATGCAAACTCAGCGTTTTTGCAATATTCTATCGATAGCCCGGTATTTTGTATATACCTCCATAGTGATTGGCAAAAGTGAAAAAAAAACAATCGTTTAATGAGCATTGTGGAAAGACCTTTTGTACAGCAATAATAGTTGTTTGTTCGAAATCTAGCATGATCGATTCGGGTTTAAGTTCAGGTATCAATTCAATAATAATTTGAAATAACCTCACATATATTTCTTAAGTTTTATTTGGAAGAAGTGCAAATATAGATGGCAGAACGTTATTATATTGAATTCCATGGATAGTAAATAATTGATAAAATATCGTTGGTGCAAATAAAAATATTCCATCAATATACCATACTTTATATAATCTATCATCATATTTAAGTTTTCTTCAGTTGAAAAAATAAGAAATCGAGGCTTATCACGAGTTTCCACAAAACTATTAAATATTAGAAATGATTTATGATTTACCGTCAACAGTAGTTTTATACTCCACAGATACAATTAAATGATCTAGAATTTTTGGATTGGCAGGAGCTATTAATTTATTTTTACGAACTTTTCGAACAGTCTTTTTTAGAGACTCTTAAAGTTTATATTAAAAAAAAAATAATTAATAATAGAAAACAAATTTAATTTAAGTTCACATTCACAATAGTCAACTGCAGGTTTAATTGTTTAAAATATAATTATTTTTTTATTATTTTGCAAGAATAATTGTATAATATTACCTACCTATTCAGATATTGTCCTCGATACAGCTTATGTACTCAGTTTTTACTTTGGAAATTTCTTTCATTTTATAAATTGTATTTTTTGCAATATCTGGTCTATGGTTATGTTCACATTTCTTTAAAATTTGCTCGGATTGAACGTGTATATACGACTACTACATTTAGATTTAGAATACTCGGTACATCTCCATATAGCTATTGTACCACTAACTGTATCTAATTTGTACAAAAAACCTTCATTAACTAACATATTATTACATCCTTTTTCACTTTTAATGTAATAGAATTTTTACATATTTTTAAAAATATAAAAGCAAAAACACCTCCCACGACTGACACTCAGGCACGTGAATATAGAATTAGATAAAAGTCAAATCGTCAATAATTTTGGTCGATCGTCGATTAGTGAATTGTCAAATTTTATCGTATGAAAATAAAAATGCTATTAGCAAGCGATAACTGAAAACTTGAACATTATATACCTAGGGTAAGGTTATAAAATAAATAGGTATGAATAACTTATTATTATTTCTTTATATTATATTATACAGGTGTTGCACGATAAATGTGTCAAACTTCAAGAGGTACTTTTACACCTCAGATGCAACAAAAAAAGTCCTTATGACCATTATCGAATTCTCAATAATAAGGGAGAGGAGGAGATTTTTGTGTTTTTTTGATTGAACGCAAGTTTCATTCATAATAATGTGCATATCTGCTGAACCGTTGATCTTACAACAAATTTGAATACACCGCTGAAAAGTTCATAAAATTAGGATTAATAAAACATACCCTTCAAGGTTCCCACATCATTTTTTGGATTAAAGCAATAACACAAATTATTTAAAACTTTAAATTATCAAAATTTTAATAAATTTCAATGTTGTTTAACAAAAATTAATTTCTAAGGCAGGGGGGTGCAAATTTTACAAAAACTTTAAAACTTTATAAGCTTTTAGACGGGGTATTCGACTTTTTCATTAAACCATTTCGAGGGTCCAATATTCCACTTAGTGTGCGGAAAAACGAAAATAAATTACAAGGTAAATTTACAGTAAAAACCGATTTAGTACTTTTATTTAAAGCGTTCGATAACAATTATCGTTATTAAATTGTCATAACTTGTTATTTATACATTTTGATAGTGATTATTATTATCATCGAATTCGATTATGTCATTAAAATGTAATTTACGTGTCCATTTTTGTCGACCGTGGTGCTCAGAATCCAATACAGTTATTGTAAGTGTAGTGTTTGTTTTATCCATCATGATGCCTTCTTATTCAAATGCTGAACTTGCAGACATGCATTTTATTTATGGTTTGTGTGATGGTAATACTCAAGCCTCTCAAAGAGAGTACAAAAATCGTTTTCCTGGTTGGCGTGTTCCTGCTCCAGCTATGTTCGCCAAAATCCACCAAGCTCTCAGAGATCGAGGTACTTTTAGACGGTCGTTAAGGGAAGGTGTACATAATGCAGATTTGGAGACGGAAATCTTGGACGAAGTAAATAGAGATCCAGAAACTAGTACACGTGCGCTTGCTCGTCAATTTGGTGTTCATCATACAACTGTTTGGAGAACTATTAATAGAGAAGGTTTATACCCATACCATTTTTTAAGAGTTCATGGTTTAGAAAACACAGATCATCAACAACGTGTACAGTTCTATAGATGGCTATTTCATAATGAAGTTGAGGATTATGATTTTCTACAAAGTATTATTTGGACAGATGAAAGTACATTTACGAGAGAAGGTGTGTTTAATGTTCATAATAGACATTATTATGCCCAGGAAAATCCACACTTGGTACGTCAACAACGTTTTCAACGCAGATTTTCGATAAATGTGTGGATGGGCGTTATCGGTGGTGTTTAAATTGGTCCATTTTCAGGACTTCCTCGGACGGTAGGTGGAAATGCCTACCTAAATTTTCTTCAAAATGAATTACCTGTATTGCTTGAGGACATACCTTTAGATGTCAGGAGACGCATGATCTACCAACATGATGGGGCCCCTCCACATTTCTCAAGAGTAGTGAGACAATATTTAAATGAAATATTTACTTCTTGGATCGGCAGAGGAGGCACGATTCCATGGTCTCCAAGGTCCCCAGACCTAACTCCTTTGGATTTTTTTGTTTGGGGATATCTCAAAGAACGAGTATACCAACAGGAAGTCGATTCTGAAGCAGAACTAAGACAGAGAATTCTACAAGCTGCTATTGAAATGCGGAGAGTAATGACAGCAGGAGTAACTGGGAGTCAAGTACGTGGAGAGCTCATGCTTGTTTGAGACAAAACGGTGGACACTTTGAACAGCTTTTGTAATAAATGTATGTGTACAAACTTATTTTAAATTTCATTAAATAAAATTTACATCAGTTTACCACGTTTTACCGGTTTTGTGTTTATCGATTAAAATTTGTTTTCGTTTTTCCGCACACTAAGTGGAATAGTAGGCTCTCGAAATGGTTTAATGAAAAAGTCGAGTACCCCGTCTAAAAGCTTATAAAGTTTTAAAGTTTTTGTAAAATTTGCACCCCCCTGCCTTAGAAATTAATTTTTGTTAAACAACATTGAAATTTATTAAAATTTTGACAATTTAAAGTTTTAAATAATTTGTGTTATTGCTTTAATCCAAAAAATGATGTGGGAACCTTGAAGGGTATGTTTTATTAATCCTAATTTTATGAGCTTTTCAGCGGTGTATTCAAATTTGTTGTAGAGTCAACGGTTCAGCAGATATGCGCATTATTATGAATGAAACTAGCGTTCAATCAAAAAACACAAAAATCCCCTCCTCTCCATTATTATTGAAAATTCGATAATGGTCATAAGGACTTTTTTTGTTGCATCTGAGGTGTAGAAGTACCTCTTGAAGTTTGACACATTTATCGTGCAATACCCTGTATAGGTATATTTGAAATTTGTTTCTATGATGAACTTAGTTGGGTCAAATTGTCTATGTGTTAAATTAGCTTGCATCAAAAAGTCCGTGTGTTAAATTATCCACGCGCCTAATTTTCCGCGCTAAATTTTCTGCGACTACGTGTCCGAACACCATTTAAAAAAATGTCCGATCTGCAATTTCTGGTTTTAATTAAAAAATTTTCGTTTTCACTCGATAATCGTAGGTATACGTATACACGTAAGTACGTTTATTATTAACCTGTAAAAATCACACGTACACAAAAAGGACATTCGTGGACATTATAGATAGAACTGTATTCGTTATTTGATATCTAACTATATTGTATAACCTTGATTGTATTAAACAACTAATTTTATTTAAAAGATAGAATATAATAATTATACGAGTATTTTATATGTTATATTATTTAATAGCTATCAATAGACTGGTCATGTTTATTGTAATAGTTTTTATAATATAATCAATGTTCATATATTTTTTCGCTGCTGATTAACGAATTGGAGTAAAAAAACAAAACATTAATTACATAATTAAACATATTATATTTTATTAACATTTTAAAAATTAACAGTATAAATGAAAATATTATTGATACAAAAGATATAGATTTATAAATTAAAACATATTGAATTTAACTTACTTAAATAATCAGTTAAATCACTGTACGAATTACAAATTAACCTAATATTATGTGACAGATATTGTTATCAAAATAATAAAACGATAACAATTTGTATTAAAATATTTAGTTTTTACACAAACAATTTAAAAAAAAAATAAGATTATCATATCAAGGAAACAATGGATTAATAAATTAACTAATATTTTATAAGTTTGGAACTTGGAATAGACAATACAATAATTACTTAAAAAATAATAAAAAAAAAAAAATTAAATGCCATTATAAAATGAATTATTTGAATAATACAACTATTTCATTATTCAGGTAATCAACTTTTACAGAAGATAAAATCATGTTCTCTCTCTATACATGAAGTTGTTAATATCTGTAACTAATTCGTTATTTTTTTTGCTTTTTTATAAGCCATGTCATAATTGACATATTGTGTCATAACTGCAGATAATACAAACTCCGAAGAATAGATACCTGAAAAAAGAATAAAATTATTAAAAATTACAATGTAAAAAGGCATAGGTTACAAAACGCGACCTACTGCAAATTTTATTTAGTATAGCACGTGACCTTCATCAAATTTAATCTACTTACTAATATATAGTACGTACATAGGGTTATATAGAATTGTGTAGAACTGAATTTCAAGGAGTGCCTTTTCCTTAGTTATTATCCAGTCTTACTTATTATATATACTAAACATATAAAAAAAGCAGAGTGAGCTATACATTTGTTTTATGCACCAGGGGGCAGGGACTCCAAATATGAAATTGTATACTATTTTTCAATTTTTGGTGCTATTTTTAGCTTATTTGCATAATATGACATTTTGTTTTATATTTTCATAAATCTAGTTTAGGTATATTATGTGGTGTGAAAATAAGATACATTGGCCTATTGAACAGTAAACAATTATGACTTCTTGTCGGTTGTATGACTGGTATTTATATATTTTTGTCAAGAATACTCAGTTGTACATTCGTATGTGTGTTGTGTTTTAGAGTGTCAGTCAATTCTCCATTCTCCATATCATTTGATTTTGATTGTAACTTGATTGTGAAGGATTTGTTTTCTGTTTTATTATGCAACATAAAATGCCAAAAGATAAAATATCATACTATTCAAGACTTAGATATTTTGATTGTGTTTTCGATTGACACTATAGTTCTGTTAAAATTATTTTCATAACAATAGTATACATTTTTTAAGCAATATTATGTTTTGCACACATTAGAATAATGATAATCATAATACATTAAATAATAGTTCTAAAAAAGGTATATCAAATATTAAAAAACATTAATTATTTCTTAAGATATTAAAAAACAAGTTTCCCAATATTATTATAAATTTTTTGTTCATTTAAGCAAATTTTGAATACAAATTTGGTATAAAATGGTAATACTTAACTAAAAACTACATAAAATAATATTAGTTATCTATTTTCTATTTATAGAATATATAGGATAAAGTTATGTATAAACTATAAAGTGCTTGATAACTGCTAATATATTAACAGTTGTTCAACATAAATTATACATAACAATAAGATATATCAAAGTCAATTGGCTTTTAAAATATTCAAATTAATGTTTACTCACCATAAGATGATCGAATAAGATCAGCAACCAAATGAAGATCATTATTAGATGCAATTACGATATATGTATTAGGTTCAAGTTCTTGTATAGCTCTCAATGATCTTCTTTGTTTTTCAACAGTACCACCAGCTGATTCTATTATTTGTCGAACAATAAACACTGATGGGTGAGTAACTCCTGGAGTCACATAAAATATCTTTCCTTTGAACAATTCGTGTCGATTTGGATTAGACAGTATTTTATGCACTTTACATATTACTTTCTGATCTACAGAAACTTCTTCAATAGTGTAAATTGCTTCACCTATATATGACAAACATATTATATAGTATAAAGTCGTTTATTAAAATTTCATCATTATACCTAAAAACATATGTTGAGTAGAAGAATTTTTAAGCCAATCGGCATTTACAATGTGTTTGACAGTTGAAAGACAACATAAAAATTTTGTAGTTCTAACAGATTCTTTCATAACTAAATGAGTAGCATCTGAATAATTTTTAGCAATTGTACCACCAAGCTGTAAGACCATCTATAAGGGAAAAAATTTAACTGTATTAATCATTAATTTTAAAATATTTCAAATAATAGTATTGCATACCCGTTGTTCTTCTTTTCCTAAACCAAATCCAGAAAGCATGACACATGGTCGATATTCTATTGGTGGTGGGTTGATGTTTGTAATGATTATATCAGCTGTACTTAAATCATTATTTTCTTGGTCTGGGAAATTAGGATTTGGTCTAGGCCGTTTTCTTTTAACAGGAACGGGATTATTACGTATCCTGTCATATAATTCTTGGGTAACATTAATTGGAATTTTCCATGCCCCTATTATACACAATAAGATTAAATTTAAAAAAAAGTTATTGTGCATATTACTATTAATAAATTTATTATAATTGAAATTTTATAATTATTAGTGGTAATTATTACTAATATCTCACCCATTAAGTGAAGTACCAGATTATAATCAACTCTGAATGGATTGTTAAGATTGAACTGTTGATACTTGACATTCTCTGGTTGATACATACACGATAGATGACCAAAAAGAATCTCATTTAACCATTGCACATTGACCACTGGTCGATTAATATCTCTAGCTTTTTTAACTTTTTTACCTTCTAATCTAAAATCATTAAACCAAAATTTAAAAATTTAGAAAATAAAAATTTAGTTATCATGTAAAAAAGTTATAAGAATTAATAAGACTATTTAAATAGTAAGTGTGTTTACTTTCTTGTAACTAAAATGTTGTTGTCAGCAGAAAAGTAAGACGTAACACGGGCACCTGTCAATTCTATCATGAATTTAACACGATTGCGTTCATCATTTTCAAAATTTGTCAGCGATATCAACATTTGTCGGCATGGTCTCTCTTCACTGTATGGAGTAGGAAAATGAAGGGCATACCATGGAGGCATAAGTTGTTGTTTGGTTATTATATCACTTAGCCAGTAAGCAGTAATACATCTTTTTCCATCACGCAAACCCTAATAAGAAATATATTAAAATTAACAATGTTACAATGGTTAAAAAGATAGTTTTAACTTTGAATTTTTTATACTACCTGTTGAACGAGTGGATGCTTTTGAGTTTGACAAAGAATATGCGTAAGACGTAAGGTGTATGATGGTTCAATTTCTCCACCATGGTCAAGGATGATTTGTTTCCAGGTAGGTACTTCTTTTATAGTATCTGGACATCGATCGTACTCAACAATCAGAAATATACAACCAAGCAAACACTTGTCGGGTGGTACTAAAAATTAAAAAAATAGTTTTAATTTAATTTGTATAATAATATGATGGTACATTTTAAGTACATTTAAGATTTGGGTTATGTCCAAAAAATCTGGCTTGATGAGGAAGTTGTTGATGACCAACAGTTTGTCCAGCAGCACTTTTTGCCAAGACTGCTGCAACTCTTACAGCAGCTGATTGATTGTAGCTTGCGGGTAATGTTTTGTTAGCGACTGCAGTTGGGACAGCTGCACGACCTACTACTTGAGCAGCGCGGTTTGTTGCAGTATTGTTGGTAACATTATTTAAAACTGTTCTAGACTATTCAAACACAAATAAAAAATAAATATACATTAATTTATCTTACAATACAATATTATTACATATATGCATAGATATAGTACCTGATATGAGCCTTGAGTACTGCCTTGTTGTTGTGCGGCATGGTGTTGAGCAGTCATCAATCTTAGTTGCCCTGCTGCACTAATTTCTTGTCCAGATATTTGCTATCAAAGTCATAAATTTAGGTTAATAAATGTATGCTATATATTTTTACATTACAAATGAAATATAAATATTAGCATGTTATTTTATTGAATAATGGTATGAACTATTATTGTTTTAATTTGTTATATACAAATACATGCTGTAATAACAAACATTGATTAAATATTAAATTAGCAAATTATTATTATTATTACAACATATATATAAATATATTTTTAAACTAATAATATGATTAGATTTATAATGTAAATCAGTAGATCTAAATAACAATTGTAGTTAATTTTTTAGTATAATACATTAGAAATTATACTACATTATGTTAGCAACACAAAAAAAAAACACTATATTAAATTGCCAATGATAAGTTTTGTTAAAAATTATATAACATTAAATTAATAAGCAATAAATTAATGTTTATGTTAAATTAGTACAAATATAGTAAATACAATTATAAAATAATAAAACTGCTAGTATTAAATACAAAACTGGTGGCATTTATAGGATATTAATTTAAACATAGAAGTATAATAATCTCATAGTAAGCTTAAATTTTCTTAAATATCCTTAACAATATTATCAATAGTTTAGATTAGAATAACCATGCACTAGGAGTATGAATTAGCTCAATATTAGAAATCAACTGAATGAAGTTATGCACATAGAGATATGGCTACGAAGACAAAATTCAAAACAGCGTTGGTCCATTGTGTGTTTACTTTTTACCTGTTGCTGTGTTGAAGTAGATGATGATATGCCATTTTGTAAACGTATACTTAACATATTAGCAAGCGCAGTTTTGGTCTTAGGATTTACAACCAACGCTTGTTGATTTGATTGAGATGTTTGCTAGAAAAATGATTTTGATGCAATCACTACAGCAACAATATTCCATTTATCCAAAAATAAATTGGACATTTGTATGCAATAAGTAAAACATAATATTACAATTATTTAACTGTATGTTTAAAAACTAAATGATTTTGATTTCACCTGTAATTGTTAGCTTAATAACAAGATAAATTAGAAGAAATTATTCAACAATATAATATTATGTAATTTTTTGATTACATTGATGTAAAACAATAGAGGATAATTATTTTAAGATTTAACATTCAAATTTTGTAAATTATTTAAATATTTAAATGGAAAAAATTAAAGAAGATCATATTTATCAAAAAATGTTTATGATTTTCTTGAAAACATTTGAGAAATTGAAAAACAATATTTTAACTTTTAAGTACTTTATGTTATTAAAAATGTATCCTTTTAATATCAGAAAAGAAAGCCTACTTTAGTGTTAGCTTTTGCCCTAAAATTTAAATTAAAAAATTAATATTTAAAATCTTACATATAAATACAAAAATCATAAACCTTAAATATATATATAATGCAAATATAAATATTGTATAAAAACATTATTTGTAACTAAAAAATGTGTTGTTTTACGTATTTTTTTTTTAACTTGAAAGATGTAATTTACAAAATAATTTCAATTTTTAATTTTTATCTATTGTCAAGATTTAATTATTACAAGACATTATTAAACAATATGTTGGATACATATGTTATTTAAGTAATGTAAAATGTAAACATAAGAATATAACAATAACAATAATGTAAATGTAAATGCAAAAATAAGCTAAAATATAATATATAATATTATATACTATAATAGTATTACGTTTAACATTATGACTAGAAGATATTTAGAGCTAATTATTATGGAATGAAAGTAGTAAAATATAAAAAATTATTTGTTATATAATTGCAATACCAAATTAGTAAACTAAGAAATGTACAGAATAATTTTAGAATGAATAACAAAGTGAAATACCACACAAAAATACATCATTAAGCATCAACAGATTTTGCAAAAATTATGAATAAAACAATAAAAAAATTATTATTAAACACAATATATTATTTTTGAAGTTAAAAATTGATTATGTAATTTTCTCTCCAAGAGAAAATTGGCTTTTTACAAGTTCATGATTTTATTGAAGATTTTAGGAGATTAAAAAAAAAAGAAAATTGCTGAGATATATATATATATAATACAATTGAATCATACTTTCATTTAAACAAGTATTAGTTTGATTTAATCAGAATAAATACAATTTAAATTTAAAAAATATTATAATTGTATAATAAACTTAGTGCATACTTTCATCTTTTTGTTTTTTTTTTATTAAATATTTAAGTAATTGACATGTTACACATTATACAGGTTTCTATTAGACTAAATAATATTAATATCCATACAACTAGTGTACAGGTATATCATTTTAAAGAATTTAGTAATAGTGAGGGGTCACAATAACAAGTAAATATAGAAAACCTTAAACCAAAATTTTATCAAGAACACCAAAATAATGTCCATCACCAAAAAGCAATTGCCCCAATAACATGTACATTTTTCCAATGTAAATAAAATAACAAATCAATAATGTACTTACTGTAAATGGTTCTTGACTTGGTGTTTGCGTTTCAGTTGGCTCATTTGTAGGTAATGTTGGCGTCTGTTGTGGCTGAACAACTGAAGTCTGTGCAACAGTAACTTGAGGTGATTGTACAACATTTGGCTGCATTGCTCCAGCAATTTGTGCTTGATTAGGGACAACCTAATAAACAATATATGTATTTTAAAACATGATATTACACATTTGTTACTTTACCTTAGATACCTGCTGTTGCATCGTTTGTTGTTTTTGTGAGGCATCCATTTGCAATTGTTGTAGTCTCAACTGTTGGAGTTGTTGTTGTCTTTGATGTATTTGTGCCAATTGAGCACCAGACATAGAACTAGAAGTTTGTTGATGTCCTATAATAATTTTTCCATATTAGTAACAAAATAAAACACGAGCCATCCATAACTTATTTATTTACTAATCTAATACATTAATTCTTAATCATACATAAGTCAGAACTAAATTAATTTTAGTTGTGTAGCAGAATTTTATATAAATAAATAATTCGATGAATTAGAAAATTACAGAACGCACGAAATTATTGAGAACGTACAATTAAATATTCCAAATAATAATATTATTAGTAAGAATATTTAATTTTAAAATAATATATAATATAACAATAGAATGAATTCTGTTGATACTTATTAAGATTTAAGTATCGATTAAATTTTTGTAATTTAAAAATCACAATTAATAGAAAAGTTTACACATTTTGTTTTTAGGTTTTACCGTAAGTTTGTAATATGAATTAGGGAAAACCAATTTTTTAGAATTAAACATTTTTAAAAATAAGGTTATATAATAATATAAGCAAACAGTTTCTATAACCTATTAATAATATAAATCTTATCATTTAAAATATTTATCTTATTTTTTTTCAACAGCTGATAAGAGACGCGTGTACTACTACTATATATATTATAATAATAAAACTTTAAAAATATTGATATAAAAGTTAATTTTAAATTACTTAGCACCTTCTCTACTGCTTATTTATATAATTAGGTACCTATAGGTTAATCTAAGTTAGTTACTTAAATTTATCTACATGAACGTTTTGATAAATATTTATCGCTAACAAATAATATTAGTTGTAACTGTTGCAAGGCTGGGAGTTTATTTTTTTAATTAGGTTTATGATTAAAATAAATAAATATTATTACTTATACGATTTTTGTAGGTAAGGTCTTATAACGTTAAAGTTACAGAGTCATAATATAAACTAAATTAAGTTTTCTTCATATTTTTGTTAGAAAAAATTATAAAAATAATATGTAATAATTAAATAAAATCGACTTATATTTCTGCGTAAATGCCATTTATTTTGAGATGGATGTTTATTTCATTAGTTTAATTTACTTCTAGGAATAACATATTAAGTGTAGATAATATGAATGAAATAAAAAGAATAACCTAATCTCTAAAACTATTTTATTTTGAACATTTGTTTCATTTTTTTTTTTTTAATCGACTTTTTCTATAGGAATATATTTGAGTTAAAAAATCGAAATTTAACAAATTCAGTAAATTTTCTGAACGGTGGCGCGTAATATTTTGAGATTCATACACGTATATTATTCAAGAAATTTCTGAATGTATATGTAATTGTCCGCGTTTTATAGAAATAATATTTAAATTTATATTTATTTTTTTATTTTTTAAGTGCAATCTACAATCTAAACCACTTGGACACAATAAGTAGATGTGATACAGATTAGTTATAATACAAATTAAAAAAATAAATACATTATATATTTAATAACATTTATATATAATACGTGATATTTTTGAGGAAAGCAGTCACTCATTAGTAACACTTTCAATTTGCTATTTTATTTTTTATTATATTTTAGGTGCCAACAGGTCATGACACCATTTCCGTTTTAACCATCTCGGGGGATGAGGGGAGGTTTACCGGGGATTGCAGGATTAGCAAGATTTCTGATAAGAGAATTGGGATGAGATAAAGTGCGAGCATAGAAACGTTTATAATATGATTTAGCTTCTTCGTAAACTAAAGGCGTTTTAAGGTCTGTATGTATGGTGTAGTTAGAGACATAAGTAGAGGCATTTGATAATTTGCGAAGTGTAATGTTTTGGAATAATTGGAATTATTAATGTTGGTTATTTTTGCGTTTCTCCAGAACTGAAGGCCATATGTCCAAGTAGGTTTTAATAATGATTTATAAATAAATAGTTTTAACATTGATATAAGTATATTTATTATTGTTGATGAGGTTTTTTAGAAAGCGTAGACGTAGGTTTAGATTTTTGCTTTTGGGCTTAATATACTGGGCTCAGGTCTTTATCAATAGTCAGGCCAAGATATTTAACATTCGAAACACTGAAAATTAGAGTGTTATAAACTTATAAATAAAGACATCAAGGCATGGGGCGAGTCTAAGGGTCAACGTTAAATGTATAGATTTGGGTTGATTTATTTTAAATCTTCAGTTGGTGTACCACTTTTCCATGATATTGAGCAGCAATGAAGGTATCAGAGTGTATATATAAAATTTCCTTATCATCCGCATAGTCGGCAACCAGTGTATTAGGTGTGATTGGTTTGTTTGAGAAAAAAATATTGTCAAGTATAAGGGGACAGGATACTACCTTGCGTAACACCAGCAGTTATATGGGCTATGGACAAAAAATCATCACCAACACGAACTTGAAAGTGGCGATCTAAGAGATACAACTTAATAATGGCGAAATATGTAGGATGAAGAAATTTTTTTAATTTATAGAGGAGGCCGTTACACCATGCTCTATCAAAATTTTTTGAAAATTTGCTTATACAGTAAAGTTGTTTTTTTAGTGAGTAAGATATGGTGTGAACGACTTTGGGAACCTGTTGAGCAGTAGAGTGAGAAGTGCGAAATCCAAATTGAGAGAATCAGGAAGAATGGATTTTTAAATTATACATAGAAGGATACATTTTAGTATAAGTTTCTCCAGAATTTTAGCAAAAGACGGGAGTAAATTTATAGATTGAAAAGAAGTTATTGAGTCAGGTGATTTATTAGATTTGGGCACTAAGACGATGGTAGAACTTTTCTACAGCATGGGAAAATACGATACCTAGCCTTATAATGAAATTAATAATATGAGAAAGATGAATTAAGGCTTTTTTAGGCAAACACCTAGCTACTTTGACAGTTATCAGGATGAATCCTGGAGATTTCTTGAAAATTCAGAATTAAATATAATATAGAGCATACCAAGTAAAAAAATTCTGAAACTTGTAACTTGGAAGTAAATATCTTAAAGTTTACATACTATTTTGTACATTCAATTGTTTATTTTGTATTACACATATTATTTTTTGACTTAATAAGTAACAACTTGAAAATTGGCAGGAAAGTGTAGGTGGTATAGTTCATGAAGTTTAGAAAAGGAATATAGAAACCTTAGAGATATTCTGCCTACATGGAATTTTATTTTCTGTGCTAACAATCCAGTTAAACTATTTAATTTTATTATTACAAAAGAAAAAGTGAAATCTGTACTTAAAAAATACTTACAATTTGAAGTACAATATTTTTTATGATTTCAACTGTTCATCAACATAAAACATTGTATTTTAGTAATGAAGTCATTTAAAAGAAACCAAAATATCAAATTAAATTCTGTAATATGATTTAAGTTTGTTAATATTTTTTGTGGAATATTTTATGAAAGTAAATATATAATTTAAGCAATTTTTGTATTAAAATCTAAAAATAAAATAATTTACAAAAAATTGGCTCTTGAATTAGTTTTTAAAAAAATGACTGATGAATTCTAATTTACTTTCAATATTAAACCAATTAAATTATTATATCTAATAAATGAGCATATAATATATACTAATACAAGTCTAAAATGTTAAACTTATATTAGTTTGACAACTATACAGTAATTATTTTATACAACTTTTTAGGTATAGAAGCAAAGCCTTCAATGGTAAGTTATAGCTTAATATAAATTGTAGATTGCTGAATTAATGAGCAATAATTTAGACTAGCATTCCTACGATTCACCTAAAATGCATATTCCCTACTATCTTTAACTAAACTAGAAAATGTTCATACAGAGTATATATAATCTTATTTTTAATAATTCACTGATTTAGTATATAGCCAATTTCTCAGACTGATATGACACAATACATTTTGCTATACATTAGTTCACATAATTTAATTTGTTTATTTGTGTAACATAATAAATCCATCTTTAAAAGTACATAAAAGAAGTTTGTAAACATACTTAATAAATAATAGTAAATACTAAGTTACTAACCTTGTTCAGTAACAGGTGACTGTTGCCAAACTGTAGTTTGCGGTTGAGCAACTTGTTGATTGTTCACCAATGTATTGCTTACAGTTTTTGCATTGGTTTGTAACCCAGTAGTAACTGTTCCACCTGCCATTTGTTGTTGTTGCTGTTGTTGTTGAACCAGCAGCTTTATGAAAAGTTAAATATTATAACTACCGTAATGGTTTTGAACACAATAATATATAATATGTATACAATTCATGCATATTATATACATAAAAAAAAAAAATAATATTTAAATTACAATATATATTTAATACATATTATAATTATATACATAATAAATATATTACTTGTTGTTGGCGTATTTGATTCCATTGTGCTTGTTGAGCTGGTGTCATCCCAGTAGATGATATTAGTTGATGATTAAGAGTACGTATCACAGTGGTCTGACCATTAGGTGTTGTTGATGGTCTGACAATATTTGTACCACCAGCTACACCTGCAGCTTGTTGTTGGCGAGCCTAAAAGACATATTATTTTTAATTGATATAGAGTTTAATTATTTAGATTCAATCGTACATTAAATTGTTGCAAGACAAGGTTCCTTTGTTTTGTTAATTTATTAATAAATGCCAATCGTTCGGCAGGATTCATAGCCTGTATTTGCTGATGTGTTTTTGCATCCATGTGTATCATCTGTTGTGGTCCATGCTAAAAAAAAAAATTATTTATAAATACTAAGTTATTAAATAAATTATAAATGGTAAAAATTAATCAATATTTTTAATAAATTACCGGAGACTGCTGTGACCATATTACTTGTCTTTGATCCATTGGCTGTTGAATAGTTCTTTGAATAGTTAAAGTTTGCTGTGGGGGCCACTGAGTTTGAGTAGTTGGTTGCGAATTTGCATTATTCATATTAACTGTTGGTTGTTGTCCTATAACTAAGGTTTGTTGTTGTTGAATTTGTTGGGATTGTTGCTGGTTAACTTGAACGCGTGGCTATAAAATTATTAAGATAAATTTATTATACATACAATAGACATGTAATAATATAATAATTAGTGATCCTTAAAGAGTTTTGGAGACCAAGTACCTATAATCCCTAAAAAAATAATAATTACAAATACCAGAATCAATAAAAATAAATAAGAAATAACTGATAACAATGAACACAATTAATAAGATAGTCATTTAAAAATTATAGTTAACTTTAATACCAGACATGAGTAGTAAAATAATTCGTATTAATGTTAAGTCTTGTATCTTCAAGGTTACACTATTAATTCATTAAATGGGTATCAAATGTTTTTATAATTTAACATAAATTTGTGTTATTTTTTTTTTTTTATCTTTTTTATAATAGAAAAAAAATAGTATACAAAACCATTTTTATTAAGAGGACGACATACCCGCATACGTTATCTCCGTCTTACAAATGTGTAACATAGCAAATATTACGTTTAGAAGATCACGGTTAACTCCTTTAAATAGACGTGCAAGCAATTTACAATTTTAAAATACTCATAACTTGTTTTAAAATTAAAATATAATAAATAGCCTATGAGATGCCCTAGATAATAATCTCACTTTTAAATTTCAAAAGAGGTCAATTCACTCTAATTTTCAAGCTGAAGGAGCTAAACATGATCTTCTGAGAGTACTATTTGCCATGTTATGCATTTGTAAGACGGAGACAACATATGTGGGTACGACGTCCTCTTAAGTAATATATAGGTAGGTATATATTTATATAATCTTAAAAAAGCTATTTTGGCATGATATTCTGTGATACAGAACATTCTCTATTTCCTCAGATGAAATAGTGAGATAGACACTTATGAACCATCACCGATAATATTTATATATATTAATAAGAAAACATATCTAAATAATAGTACCATATTAGATGGCGGATGAGCCATTCGCCATTGAGTTGAGACAGTCCCACCACCACTTTGTTGTACAATACGTTGTTGGAACATTAATCTCTGCTGTTGTTGAAGTAGGAGTTGTTGCTGCTGATTTGATGGATTAGATTGAGCCTGTTGAAGCTGTTGTCCATTTGAAACAATACAAATTTGAGAAGGTTGTGTAGACTGTACATTTTGTAATTGAGGTTGTGATTGTTGTTGTTGTTGTTGTTGTTGCTGCTGCTGCTGCTGCTGTTGTTGTTGTTGTTGTTGTTGCTGCTGCTGTTGTTGTTGTTGTAAGTGAACTTGAGCATTTTGAGTAACTTGTTGAGGAAATTGTACTTGCTGACCATTACTTGTTTGAAATTGTATCTGTTGCGGTTGAATTTGTTGGATTTGTTGTCCCTGTTGCAATTGGTTAGAATGCTGTGGGTTTTGTTGTAATTGAACAGTTTGTTTTTGTAACTGAGTTAGTTGACCCTGCTGTTGTTGACCTTGTTGAAGTTGAACAGTTTGTTGTTGTAATTGAGCTGGTATTTGAACTTGTTGCTGTTGTGGCTGACCCTGCTGAATTTGAACAGACTGTGACTGTAACTGAGGTACTTGACCATGCTGGATTTGTACTGTTTGTTGCTGTAATAGAGGTATTTGGTTAGGCTGTTGGCTAGATTGAAGTTGCTGAACGTTTTGTTGTTGTTGTTGACCTGACTGAATTTGAACATTTTGCTGTTGCAATACGACTTGTTGCTGTTGATTTTGAAGTTGTTGACTAGGAATAGACTGCAATTGTTGAACTTTTTGTTGCATTTGAATGTGTTGCTGATTTTGTTGTTGGCTTTTTTGCATAATTTGAAGATGAGTTTGTTGACCTTGTTGTAATTGCATATGAGTTTGTTGTATTTGTTGCTGATTAGGTTGATATTGCAACTGTTGTCCATGTTGTAACTGAACTTGTTTTGAATGTTGCATTTGTTGAGTACGAATTTGTTGAAATTGATTTTGTTGTTGGGGCATATGTATTTGTTGCTGGGATAAAAGCTGATTATTAGCATGTGTTTGCTGTTGCAATTGTAATTGTTGAACTTGTTGTTGTGATAGCCGTTGTAGTTGTGGGGTAGACATTAATGACATCATTGGTTTCAGTTGAGTAGTATTTGATTGAACTGTTCCTTGAGCTACTTGAGATGATGAGGTCTAAACAATAAAATGAAGAATAAACTGTATATTATATATTTATCAGTTGAAATGATCTTTTAACAATTATTAAATAATAAATTAAATTAAATACAAAAAAAAAATGACGAAAAAAAGATTCTATTTACATGAACAGGTTGAGATGTTGGCGGTGTAGGAGGTTGATTCCATGGTAAACGTTGTTTTAATTGTTCTAAACCCTGATTTTTGGGAACAACACCTCCAGGTTGTTCAACGGGTGCATCAAAATCAGCAAACCCAGTAATTGTTGACAAGCCACTAGTTTGTAATTCTATACCAAAAAATTATTTTTTAATCAATTCCAATTTTTATTTTCAAATAACATAATAACTATAGAACATACTAAAAGATTGATTTGTAGGTAGTAATTTAGGCATGACAAGAAGTCTAGGATGATAATTAGTTTCAGGACATAATTCTTTGTTCTTCAAACAATCAATAATCCAATCAGGTGTTACAATTTTGATCTTATCTGAACCACTTGATAAAACTGCATCATATTTTTTCTAAACAGAATAGCATTTCTACATAGTTTTAAACAATAAATTATAAAACAAATAAATAAAAAGATAATTCACGAATTCATAATATTTAAATAGATATTATATCTTAATAAAATAGTAACACAAATAAAAACCATTTAAAAACATATATATTTATATATTTAATAATTAGTTTAATATTATATTTTAATTAAAAAATGATAAATAATTATTACTTATTAGCAGGGTTTATACTTAAAGCAATTAAAAAGCATATTTTTATTCAAATACTTCCAGTCTTTAACCTCATAATCATGAGGTAAAAAGTAAAGTACATAGCATGAATTATTTTTTTATTTTTTTTTTACAGAAGACATCGATTTTTAATCAAATATAATATATGGTATACAAATTATTATGTATATACAGTGGCGTAACTACGGGATGGCAAGGCATGGCAATGCCCCGGAGCCTTGGACTTGGTGGGCCCCGGAGGGGCCTTCGACCCTCGTACATACAATTTGTATTATAAAAAATGATGTACAAACATTTGAATTTTATTTTAAAATTCACGAGACATGTACTGTTATTACTTATTAGGATAGGAAAAAAGTGCAAAACAGCCTATTATTGGAAAACAGAAGATGTTTATATTTTATATTAATATCACGATGTGTATAATGTATATAGAATTTTGAATCTTGAATTATTATGCAATAAAAATAATAATCATCGTACCACTCATACACATAACACATACTATCCAGTATCCAATAACATAGATTAAATATACTAGTATATTTAATCTATGCCACTCATCACTAATGGCAATCGTACAACGATTATTATTATTGTCGTAATATTAATATTAACATCGTCTATTTTTCATTTTGTTCATCTACACGTCATTTTATATTTGATTGTCGAATCGTCTGGACAACTTGCATAGAACAAGTAAGTTTAACTTTTAAGTTACAATGTTTGTTATACCGTGTGTTTAAAAAGTTTGGAAATACTTAAATTATTGTTTAAAAATTGTAATACCTACTTACTATACAGAAATAAAGTGGCTATTTTTTTTTAACTTTGGTATTATAAATATACGGAGGCCAACACTTTATACTGCCCTGGGGACCCAAATTTATAGTTACGCCACTGTATATATATTTTCATGAATTTATTTATAAATAAATCATAAATTACCCCAAATGGTTTGGTCACCACCAGATGAGTAGTTTTTTTAAGATTCAATGTTAGTTGGAAAGTACCACCATTATAGGTAACTAGTGCCCATAGGAGTTTACAATCATTTACTATCTGTTGAGATACACATACAATTAATCCACTAAATAAATTATCTTCAAATGGATTAAACGGTTTTGTTCTGAAATTATATTATTAAGGAAAGATACAAATAATTGATACAAGTGTAAATATTATCTAACATATATATTAAAAATGAATGATGTAAAATCAAACTATTTTAAGCAAGTATACATTTTTATACTATAATACATAAAATTATTATAAGAATTGAATATTTCATAAAATTAAAGTTAAAGTTAATTTGTTAAATGTACATATTTATTAATTAGTTAAATAAAGCTTGTAAATAATTCAGAACATATTTTAATAAAAGGATACGGTAGTAGTTTGTTGCATAAAACAGACATACGGATCCATTCTGGAGTTACGGTCGTCACATCATATAATTCTCTTGCAGCACTCACATCATCTTCAACATAATTTTTTCCGACAATACAATGTGTAACAGAATCAGACAACAAACATGTTGATTCAGCATTGCTATTTTTGAGAGCCAATAATGCCTACAATAATAAGAACACCAAAATTAACAATTCCGTGTGTATAATTATCGGTACTTACTTCGTCGCCAATCGAACCACTAGCAAAATAGACAATTTTTTCAAATAATTTAAGTTTATTGTCGCCATCCCGCGGTAATAAAGAGTTTTGAGCTTCGTCGGCTTTTACAGAGGTATCCATCATAGACAATGATTTTTCAATAAAATGTTAACCGGGTTTCATGACACAAGTTTCAACTTTCAATAATTTTAGAAATATTTATATTTAACGAGTTTACTACATTTGTAGTATATTTGTGTTTGGTATTTTTGTGGTTTACAGAATAATTACTATTACAGTATTAAAGTCATGAGTACCTCGGCACCTAGCCTCACGGCTCTACCTATCATTATCCTAAGAAAAATATAAACAATCGTTATCAGTAGACGCGTACAGTGTAACCAGATGCAAGAACGAACGGAGTCACTAATTTAATCCCGTTTAAAAATTTCAAATATTAGTTTTTATGTTCATTTTTTAAATTTACAAAATGTAAAATTAATGAACATATTTTTAAAATGAAATGTAAAACATAAGCTAAATAAGTTAATTAATCTATTATTCAGTTTTCTGTAATATTTGTGAATTGTGATTATTCTTATCCGAATTAAGTAAATTTATAATAGCATACCTACCAAAATGGCGAAATGAGTGAAATGGAGCATGAACAATGAATGTACAGAATATTACTAAAAAATAAAGATGTAGGTAAAACCTAAAAAAATCTCACACTTTAACTATAGTACGTTTAGCTCAGACAGGCGGACAGTTACTATAGTTTTTATATTATATACTATACATATTCAGTGACTGTGTGAAAACTGTAAATAAAGTGCAGCGGTGTGTTTAATAATCTTTTTCTAAGCGACAGTGAAACATTTATTTTGTTAAATTATAATATGCACGTCACGAGATAAAACAAATTAATAAATGGTGAGAGAAGAGTATGCTTAATGTTCATTTATAGTCTAAAGAAATAGCTTGACGACAAATTTTCAAAATTGTAACTATAGAAATGGTAAACAGATATAAGTTTGGAACTTTTATTTAAATTTAAAGATACCTATATCTAATAAAATATAGATTTTATTTAGGCACATACTTTTTATACTTACCTAGTATGTAATTACATGTTTTATTTTTATTACCTACTATTGTATATTTACGATGAAAGTGCAAACGTCCAAAACTAGAATAGACAATTTTCATGACCTAGAGAGATATAATATCCTAAATTCTATTTCTATATAATGATGGTCAATGATGTTCTGTAAAAGATAACGTGAGATGATGAGATTTTTATATAATATTAATTATTTATGCGTATAATAGTAGGTAAATAGTTATCAATATATTGTTATATTCTAAACGTGCATAAAATCTAGTATTTCTACTCTTTCTTTGTGAATTTATATTTAAATCATAAGCAGAAAAATGTATGATTCAAATGAAAGGCGAATGATCGAGTGGTTATTGTAATTAGATTTTGAATCATTTCAATTCACGAACGTAGGAAAATACCGAATTAGTGAATCATTATATTTACATGTGATCGAAAGGAATAATTTTCAGGGTATGGATTCTCTCAACCTTGGCCAAGTTATCCTCCTAGCAGTTTAATAATTAATTGTTAAAAAAGCTAAGCTACATTTATTTTTATTTTACTAAACTAAGTAATAAATAATAATTTATATATATATATATATATATATATATATCATTATAATTACAATATCATATGTTATAATATATAACATTTAAATGTATTTTAATTTTTAATAATTAAAAAAAATATATTATGTAAAAAATACATTTTTAGTTGAATTTCCTACACATTTTCGAACACATACACGTCATAAAATCTCGGTTACACCACGGTGATGTAGTATAGCCAGTGTTGAGTATAGGAATAAATATTTCAATTATATTATAATAGGTATACTTATACAGTTATACATGTATCAACTTAGTACCTATTTAAAACACATCATCGCAATAATATTTATTATATGTTGCCATTATATGCACTTACGAAATACAGACAATGCAGGCAATAAGTATTTATAGACAAGGCGATCTTAATTGTCTACATACACTTATGCTTTACTGTATTATAATTTTTATAATTTTATATTATTTTTAAATGAAAGTACCTATACATTTTTAATTTTATATTCCAAAGCAGACTATTTTTTGATGTGTTTCGATTACAAACCTATACAATATATACTATATAATATAAATCAATTTTTATATTAGCGTTATAAATTAATTACTAATTAATTACTCGTTCTAAATTCAATTTATACCTTTACATCAAAATACTTCTGAAAATTCAAAAAAGTAAAAACTTTTAAAAAAACGATAAATTGATATCGTTAAAATATTGTTAAACATATTATACATTTTTTCAAACATTTTGTTTTAAAATGTCATCAAATATTGTAAAAATATATTTTTTAAATAGTAGATATAGATATTAGTTAATAATAACTAGTAACAAAACTATGCATCTTGTTATATTCATATCCTCATAAACTGCATTATTTAAAGTCGAAGTATAATTACACAACTATAATTATTTTATAACAATTAAACTACATAAATGGTTTTTACTTAACCCAAACATTTTTATTTATTTATTTTAATATTATATTAGTATATTTATTATAATACATAGAACATTACATTTGTAGCTTATTTTCTTTTTATCAATAAACATTTGTGTTGGCTACACTACAAATGAGTTTAATATATATATAACTTTCACTAGTTCAACGTACTCAAGTATGATACCTAGTATCCATCCTCATTCCTCAATTCCTCATTCAATAAGTGTTCATCGAATGATATATTTGTACTACGGCAGGTGACTTTAATGATATTCTACGAAAAGTAAGATATACTATAAATATCTATAATATATAAAATGATACTCCTAATACGTATACTAAATTATATAATAAGAAAGTTATATTTCAAATCAAATAATAATAAAATTAATATTTTTCACAGATATCGGGTATATTTTTTTTAATAATTGTTTGAAATTAAATAATTTTTGGTTTTTTAAAAATATTGCATGTTTATTATTTACTTAGTAAAACCTTTTTAATATTTTAAAAGATATTCCATTATTCCAATGAGACATATTAATTTATTAATATTGTAAATATTACCTACTATGTTTAATTTTTTTTTATGAATATGGTTATTATAGAAATAGCATTATAATAGTATAAATTAGTATTAGTATAAATGATGGTTCAATACATTTAAAAGTAGATAATATACCTATTGGTACCTATAATAATGATAATCGCTTACATATTTTATACTGGTTAGCCCTGAATCTTCCTTTCACCAATATAATGTGTATACAATTTCAAATTAAACACTTAATGATAGTATCCCATATTATACAAATGATAGTACTGTACTTTCTAAACAATATTATTGTTATTATTGTTACAATTTAATTAAATATTTAAACATAAATAATATATGTATATATATATATATATATATTTAATTAAAAGAAGCTAAATAGAAATATTAAAAAAATATTTATAATAATATCAACAGTTATTATTCACAATGAAAAATATTCGTCAGTTTCAAATTCATACAGTAAGATGGCGATCAACTGCTACTGCTCATTCACCACACGTCTCCGCGGGATCACCTGAAGATCTAGAAGTGACTAATGAATTTACTACAGCCAAATACTATAGTCAGGTGCCAGGACCTACGCCATGGCCCATTATAGGAAACACTTGGAGAATGTTACCAGTTATAGGTAATATATTATGTATACAATTAGAATTCAAAAGTATTCGCATACACTATAAAAAACGCTTAAATATTGTGAATATAATCCTAAATTTCAAATATGCACTTAAATATACAGAAAGAACTTTAATTACGCAATAAAAATTAAAAACTCATGTATGTAAAGAAAAAACTTGTTATCAATTAATTTTTTTTGACTCATAAAAAATCTTTTATTAACTTGAGTTAATGTATAAGTCATTTTACTCACAAACAAAAATTTTACTTTATAAAAATCGAACAAAAACAATATAAGGTAAATTACAAGATAAAATTTTAAATATTTTATCATTTCTTGAAAATGCATGTATAAACAATTATTGAAAATTTCAAGTCTCATCATAATAAAAAATAAAATCGATTTCTTGAAAACTGATAAGTTTTTTGTACAGTAAATCCTCATTTAACGTCACCTCATTTAGCGTTATTTTCCTAATGCGTCGTAGAAGTTTAAGTTCTTGTGTTTCGTTTAACACTGCAATTATTTCAGTATAACGTCATCTGTAATACATATTATTATGATTTTCAAATTTTTGTTTTATGCATTTATTTAAATATTTTATTTTATACAAGCCGTTACAATATTTAATTTCATCGACCTTATTCAGATAATACCGTTTTGTTTTAATCGACATACCTACCATACGTAGATAGGTACCTACCTAATGTTAAATTTGATTTAGGTTAGACCTTTTTTTGAAACTGTGCGGTTATGAATGACGTCCAGGTAATGTGTACTCCGAAATTATTTTTATTTTTTTTAACACGTTCAATACCGCAGCTCATTTGCAGTACCGTTACCGTATCGCCGCAACGAATTTCTGACCGGTCGACTACGTGTCGACAGCGGCGTCCGAGGCAATGTAATTTTTATCGACTACACGTCGACAGCAACATTAAACATTAAACGTATTAAGGAATAAATTGTAAATACGACATATATCTGATCATAAGTTTTCATTAACCTTTAATATAATTTAACACAAACAGTTAAATTGTGCAATTATAATACGAGTAAATATTAAAATATGTACATTGTTATTAATTGACAAAAACCCATTAAAATAAAGTATATGTAAAAAGTGTTTTGATTAACATTTTTTCGGTTAACGTTACATACTCTATGAACCTAATCTCGACATTAAACGAGGAATTACTACATATCAATTATTTTTTTTTTAAGTTATTAAGAAACTTTAATTTTGACCTAATATTTTTGTTTTAAAGCTTATTATACCTATTTATAAATTACAATGCTATTGTACATTTTTTTTCTTCAGTCGTATGTTAATTATGGTTTTTTTTTTGAATTGGTGCGTTTTGGATGGGACATTTAAATTTTCAATAATTTAACCGTTATCTACGTATATTCTACCAATACTGGCTAATGATTTTTATATAGGTGCTATAAAACAATGTGAACAATGTTTTTAAAGATTTCAAACAAATTTAATTTTTGATAGCCATTAAAAAATTGATACTTATGTACTGAAAATGTATTAAAAATATTTTAATAAGTTAAAATTTAAAAGTATTATAACTTATAAATATAAAATGTATGTATCTATTATTATGCCAAATATGTCTCGAAATATGCAACTACATGCAAAATTGAATTTCACATGTAACCTCTTTTCTTATTGAAATTAATTTTTAAATGTTTCACTTATCAATTAATACGGCATACCAAGATGTATATTCAAATACATAAATTTTTGACACTTAATTGTAATAATATATACTTAATATAATATATATATAAACTAAAATGTAACGATTTAAAAAATTGTATTTTTTAAGCTGTAACTTTTAATTATTATATATTACGTCGAAGGTCCGTATCAGATATCAGATTTGGCAAATGTTTCCTACATACTATACAAACAATATGGAAAAATAGCAAAGTTGGGAAATCTTGTTGGTCGACCGGATTTGCTATTTGTTTACGATGCCGATGAAATAGAAAAAGTATATAGACAAGAAGGTGATACACCGTTTAGACCTTCTATGCCATGTTTGGTAAAATATAAAAGCCAGGTTCGAGGACAATTTTTCGGGAAATTACCTGGTGTCGTCGGAGTGTGAGTATTAAAATATAAAATAAATACAATTTATATACAACATAATATTAATTACTATAGTAATACTTATCATATTGTTTGAATTGACCGTCTTTAGACATGGAGAACCGTGGAGAGAATTCAGAACTAAAGTTCAAAAGCCTGTCTTACAACCACAAACTGTTAAGAAATATATTCAACCAATTGAAGAAGTTTCCGACTATTTTATAAAACGGTATATATATAGTTTTGAAAAACACAATACTTATAAATACACGAACTACATTGAAAATATAAATCTTCTTATCGCTGTAATAATTTTTCATTTTATAATACTTTCTTGTATAGGATGCAAGAAATGAAAAATGAAAATTCTGAAATGCCAGCTGACTTTGACAATGAAATTCATAAATGGGCTTTAGAGTGTATTGGTCGTGTGGCATTAGATGCAAGACTAGGTTGTCTAAGATCAGATTTACCAAAAAACTCAGAGCCACAAAAAATAATCAATGCCGCAAAATATGCTCTCAGAAACGTGGCTTTATTAGAACTTAAGTATCCATTTTGGCGATACTTACCATCTACACTCTGGAAAAAATATGTGTCAAACATGGATTATTTCATTGAGTAAGTGTGCTAACAATTAAAATACTATACTAGGACCTACTTCCTACATAGTTAAAAAAAAAATATATTTTTTAAATTAAAATCGATGGAAATTAAAAAGATGCGTTGAAATAATAGATAGTTTTACATTTCTACCGAGACCGAAAAAGGGATTACTAAAGTAGCATACATTTGTATCAGATATTCAGATATTTATATAAATATAATTATTAACAAAAAATAGACATAAGCTTAACTGGAAGGTGCACAGGGTATGCAATAGCATTTGCTTTACAAAATAAAGTTTTTACAATTTCCTTATGATACTTTTAAATTCTGAGCGGAGCGAATCATTGTACATAATACATTCATAATTAATAACTATGTCTTATATGATACAAGTAACTGACAGTTTGTAGTTTTTAGTATTTAGTTACTAAATGTAATACATAGTATAATACAGTATATATATACCATAATAATAATATTTTTTACGTAAGATTTCCAGAAATATCAAATATGTGCACCCCTTGAACATAAAGGTTGGTTCGACCAATAACAATGGATCTTTATTTACTTTTTTCTCATATATTTTCGAAGAATTACTTAAAAATAAAATTACAGGAACTTGAGATATCAATTTAATATTTTTAAATTACAAATAATTATGTAAATTATACAACATGAAAAATTATTATACCTATTACAAAAAAAAGTAGGCCAAGTCAGACAATAATATACCTTATATATTTTTGTTATCATTAATTGTGTATACAATTATATAGGTACCTACCTAAATAATATAGTTATTATAAACTTTTATGTATTAATAAATTATTTATATTTTAATAGAATTTGTATGAAATATATTGACGATGCAATGTTAAGATTGAAGAATAAATCACAATCGGTGAATGAAAACGAATTATCTTTGGTTGAGAGAATTTTGGCGAATGAATCTGATCCAAAAACTGCTTACATATTAGCGTTGGATCTTATTTTAGTTGGGATTGATACGGTTAGTAAACGTTTATTTAAGTTTATTATGTGTTTATTTCAGTTATGCGAATTAAAATTATTCGTTAGTATATAATTTAAAGACTTAAAAGACATTTTTTCAAATTTATTATACTTTTTTTATAATTAGTGATTTTATTACAAATGTATTCTTCTGAGTTAGAATTAACATTTCAGTGTATAGTTTTTTTTTAAATAAATAATATGTTTTGGTGCTATTGTATTGTACATTAATTATAGTCTATAGATACCTACCTACTGCAAAATGTTACCTACCGAAATATATTTCTGTTATGTATAAATAGTACCTATGATGCTATCCACTAATTAATTGTAAGGTTATTTAAGTATGGTATGGCTTACTTTTTATTATAATTTCTATTTTCATAAGTATGTATGGTCGTATGGATAATGCACATTTAATTAATATGTATTAGAAGAAGTACACCTAAAATACATAACATAAATTGCTGTTTAGATTTCGATGGCCGTTTGTTCAATGCTCTATCAAATAGCCACACGACCAGAAGAGCAAGAAAAAATACATCAAGAAATACTGAAAATTTTACCAAATAAAGACGATAAACTTGACGCAAGTAAATTAGAAAAAATGGTTTATTTAAAAGCGTTTATCAAAGAAGTATTAAGGTAGAATAATATGAAGTTATTTATAACACGCGTTTAAAATTTATTTATAAAAATATTAAATTATTATTATTGCAGAATGTATTCCACTGTGATTGGTAATGGAAGAACTCTTCAAAAGGATATGGTGATTTGTGGATATAGAATACCAAAAGGTGTAAGTTTAATGTTGTAATTATAATAATATTTAATAATTAATATTTATAGTAATATTAGTTGAATGAAACGAACAATAATTGTAAAATGTTGTATTTAGTTTTTATTTTACTAATTAATACAAAGAAATTATTAATTATTCAATATCCTGAAATTTCTTGCATAACGGTTTCCCAAACTACAAAAATAAAAATATATTAAATGTAATTTCTAATTAAAAAAATTATAAAAAAACTTACTTTTATCAAAATATGCAGTAAATTTTTCTAAATTATTGATATTAATACATTTTATATCATTGTAATTATTTTCATTGTTTTCATTATTATAATATTTGATTTGTTCTTCATTTTTATCTAAATTGATTTTTTTTGTCAAATTTATGTTTTCATCTGAGTAGTTATTTATAGTTTTTTCACATTTTAAATAATATCTCGTAGGGCTGTCTTTGTCTTCTAGATTTTTTTGATAGTCAACCGAACCGGGACTATTATTAATTGTTTTCACATAGTTTTGAATATTACAAGTTTGCGAGTATATCTTAGATTTAGAAGTTGATATCTATATATATATATATTTGCATATAATATAAAAAAACAAAAAAATAAAAAATGTTTTAACAAAAATATAATACATTATTCAATTCAATTGTTATTTTACAGGATGATTATTTTAACTGCAATAAATATTTATTATTTATAATAATGTTGACTCATTAAAACAACAAGTGTTAGAAAAATTTAAAAAAAATTTACATGGTATGACAATAAGGTTTATTTTTCATATAGATTCAGTTAGTTTTTCCAACAATTGTTACGGGGAATATGGAAGAATATGTAACGGACAGTAAACAGTTTAAACCTGAAAGATGGTTGAAACAATCATCAGATTATATTCACCCATTTGCTTCGTTGCCGTACGGGCATGGTCCAAGAATGTGTCTAGGAAGAAGATTTGCTGACTTAGAAATGCAAGTCTTCTTGGCGAAAGTAATTAATTTATTATGATTACATCAAATACTTGTAATTGTTTTTAATCTATTATTTTTAATTTACCTATAATAATTTTTGAATTCTAACTAAAATTTTATGAAGATATTATATTATAGTATTTTTTTATAATATAGTTAATAATTTTATGACATATTATTTGATTTTATATAGTTGATACGATCGCATAAACTTGAGTATTTACATAAACCATTGGACTACAAAGTAACATTCATGTACGCGCCTGATGGAGAATTAAAATTCAAAATGACTGAGAGGCCTACGCCGTAATAAAATCAATAAATCCAAAAACAATTCATATGAACATAAATTAAGAATACTTGTTTTTTTATTTGTTTTAATATATTTTTATTACCTTTTTATTATTAAGTTTATTTTCTTGTAACTTTTGCTGATTTATTGTGTTAATAAATGTTGAATTAGATAATGGATTTAAATTAATATCCATGATATCTGGATTTAATTTTTGATTTTTTACAATTATTTCCTGCCTTTCCTGGTCTGAATAATCAGAACTTATGTAAACCAAACTTTTTTCGTATTCGTTCGTGTGAAGCGATTCTATTATTGGTTTTATGTTCCTATACATCACAAATTACTAATAAAGTTGTATCTCTATTGATGTTCAATTACATTTTTTTTTTAAATCATAAATACTTGATATATTTATTTCTTTTAGAATTTTCTGTTTTATTTATACTATAAGTATTTTGACCATTATGACTATAAAAACCCCATTTATGTTTGTCGTGGTAATCATTGAAATTTTCCATTTTGTGGTTTTCTATAGAACTTTCCGTATACTGCCAATTTAGACCTTAAATATTAATAAACAAAAAAATCTTGCTTTAATTTAAATAAAATACAATTTTATCTATAATTTAGTTTATATTGCCAGATCTGAGATTTTAATATCATATACAAATTTCAAATAATGCCTTTAAAATAAAATTGATAATATTCAATGTATACAAATGTATTACTTATAATTTAAAAATAACGGAAACGTGTTGTACGGTAGTGCATTTATTTTATTCTAAAGACACTAAAATACTATTTTTACTTAGTCATTAAAATAGAAGTATTGTTACCAATCGCCTTTTTAATTATTTGTAGACATGAAAATGAAAGTTGATGCTAATTTTGTCACAATAATAAATGTTATACTACGATATAAGTATATCTGCGATTGGTTCAATTATAAATTGTAAAAATTTTCTAAAGACATCAAAAAATGTTACAAAAAGTTGAGTTAAATTGAGTTTCATTTTAAAACCCAAGAAAAAAACATAATATTACATACCAATTCCCGTCCAACTATTAGGTATGTACGTACAATTTATGATTAATTTAATGTCTTCACTTTTAAAATTTTATTTCTAAATATTTATTTAATATAAAATTATTTTTGTTTAAAACTAATTATCGATTAAAATCATATATAACTATAGAATAAAAATAAAATATTAACGTTTTTTTAATCGTTTATTAAAAATATAAACTTTATATTGTTATTTAAATAATTTGTGTACTTTTAGTGTATTTGGTTTCTTTATTGATGCACATTGTTTTAGTATCATTACAGTTCAAATTCCTATCGTATAATGGTTCTTCATTTTGAATAGTAAAAAAAAATGAATTTGAACATTTGTTTGCATTGTCATTATCATTTAAAGGCGTGACTACTTTAATTGAATTATCACGTTGATCATTAAGCTTTTCATTATTTAATTGGCAATTAGTCTGATAAATTTTTTTATGGTTTTGTTTACTACGAAATTCTATACAATTATGGTTTTCAGGTAAATGATTAAAACGATTACTGTAACAAATAAAATTATAATTTTTCGATCGACCAATAATCCGCTTTTTAAACACGTATGGTTTTCTTAATTTAATTGAGCTCAATGGTTTTTCATCAATCAAATTATCAGATTTTTTATTTTTTCTCAAATCAATATCAGTGTTTTCAAAATTAACATTGGCATCTATAGTTTTTATTTCTAAAAATTTAAGCTTATAAATTTCTATTTCATTTGCGTAATGAATTGATTATGTATATTAACATTAACTATTTACCTGATTTTTTAAATTCTTTTTTGTCTTTGCATACGGTATGATTAACTCTATCACAATATTTTTTCGAGAAATCGGTTGATTTTAAATTTATGTTTACTACTTTACCATTTTTAGACAATTGCTGTTGATTGTTTTTGGATTTCTTCTTTTTTTTTTTATGCCGGTTATTATGTACAATTTTACCGGTCTGTTCCCTCTTTAACTTGTTTTCAACAATCTTTAAATCACAAGATGGTTCATTAAATAATTAAGTATAAAACGTCAGTAATTTTAACAATGACTTGAATATAATTTATAGATTACTACATAGACTATGCAGAGTTCTATTAACATGAAAAAATATTTTTTTCTTATCACTTATCATAATCTCAATTATTATTAATTAAAACACTTGATATTTTTAATTTATTAGAAGTTATATTATATTACATAATATAGTTTATTAATAATAATAAGATGTCAGTTATTTCTGTTACATTCTACAAAATGTATACAGTATACGTGTATACCGTATACTAATACTTGGATATTCAATAATTTATGTATTATAATAGTATAGTAAGGATCTATGTGTATAATATGAAGGATGATGATACGTACCGTAAAGTGATATTTCTTAGTCATTTTTCATATTATTCATAATATATATCTAAGTACAAAATATGAGGTATAAATTATTTTGTTTAAAAAATTAACATTGTTTATTTAGAGCTGTAGTTGCTAATGAATTCAATTATTGTTAATTGTTGAGATTAAAAAATATTGTAGATAAATAAATCTGATTTTTCCAAAATATACTTTGAATATAATAATTATTTAAATATTTGATTTATTTATAAATATATATATATTAATTACTATCTTCGCGTTCTTCCATATTTTTATAAAAATAAAGGATTATTTGTTATTCCATATTTTTTGAAAAAATTTATTGATGATTCATTTTTTTTTCATCAAGTTGCAAAAGTTTTAAACTAAATGTTTTGTTAAATTTAAGAAATCTAAAATCGTGAGGTAAAATCCATTAATTATATATTTTTCATATATGTATTATTATTAAAGTATTATTTATAGTTATTTAAATTCTTTAATTAAATGTTTGGATTTACGTAATTATATTATAAAGAACTTCAGTCCATTGAACTGTGTTTATAAATAAATATATGTAATATATATATTTGTTACTACATAAAAGTAAAAAAAAATTAAGAAGATTTTTTTTTTTGTAACCTACTCATTCTCAATTATACGACTACAGCAAGATTACAGTTCTATTAATGTTGATAGAATAATTTAAAAAAAAAAATATATAAAAATAATAAATTATATCTTAAAAAATCTAAAAGAATTATAAACATGGGTTATATCCATAGCAGACAAGAAATAATTTTAGCTGACATAAAATTGGTAATAAAAAAATTATGAAAGAAACTTTTAAGTCTTAGTATATTTCGTATGCTATTCAAATATTATTTACTAATATAACTACTCGTATTCTAAAATTATCTTATAAAAAATATATTATGTATGATTTTAAATCGTATTTACTAAATTCAATTAATCAATTAAAATAACACCTCACAATGAGTTGTTCAAAGACATTTGAAATTTTTTTATTAATTTTCTATAAATATTAATAAAAATCGATCGTTTGGTTAAATATCTTAAACATTTATCAAGACTCTTCATAAGTTGTTATAAAAGCTAAAATAGATTTAAATATATTTAAATAATAGAATATTAAAAAATGAAAATTTATATGCACGTTTTTTTTTATAAGTATTTAAAGTTTAAATTTTGATAAATTTGAAAATTAATTAATAGTAAACATTTTATGAAATGTTCAATTTCTATAGCTGAAGCTTGAAGTTTATTATAAGGTTCTGCATAGGTAATTAATACTAAATCTAAATATATATATATACACATTTTTTTAAATAGATATTTTTTATGTTAAATATGACTATTCACAAATACATTACAGTGACTTACTCAATGACGAGGTACACTCAATACAAAGTAGCTACTAGTTACTTACTTAATTTTCTCCGAAAGTTTATTCGAAAATTGTCAACAAATATGACATAGAGATCTAAAAATCAAAAATAATACTTCTTAAATGGGGTAAAAATTCAATAGTAATATGTTTTATTTTAAAATTGAATTTATCAATATTTATTGATACCAGTCTTTAATATATATTATAAATTATAATCGAACATAAGCCTACATATTTTTTCTAACAAAGTACTTTTTAAGACTAAAAATAAACAAAAATATATCATCATTATTTATTACTTGAAAAATGATTAAAAATATTTTTAAGTGGAAAATAAATGAAAATAATACTTTTTGTAACTAATCAGCAAAATATTTTACGAGTAACTGACAAAATAAATTCGCGTGAAGTAAGTCAGAACCATTATTTATACATTTACACTATTACTCACGTTTCTTGATAATGGTATCAGCTACGTCCATCCAAATGGATTGTTGGGCAGGGGATAAAGAATTAACAATCGTGAAATTAGTGTCTATATATAATAATAATCTTCGTTGCAATATCGTACTTTCACTGCAAATTTCCTTTTTTCTGAACCGGACTGACGGGTCTTAATAACTCGTGTATTATTTACATGTAGATAGAAACATTACGAAATAAATATTTAAGTTAATTTATCCCACGGCGAATTAACGAGAGAGAAATTCCTACCTATATTGTAACAAGCATCAAGCTATATGCGTTTAGTGTTAGTCGAGTATTGTTACGGAAAACGTCGTGATAAATTTACTTAAACTTAAGTTGAGATTATTTCATCGAGTTTAATACATACAATGGAATGGATAAAATCAATACTACTATGTCTTAATAATTAAACAGGTAATTAAAAAAAAAACTTTATTAAAAATAATACAAATAGTAATGACAATTATTAAGCGTAAACAAAAAACATACTTAGTGATAGACATTAAATGTTGTAGTTTAACTTTAAAATATTAATATTATATAAATAACTTCAAAACTGCTTGATAAATATTCATTATTCAAAAAAAAATTAAAATAATACGCAATGACGTAATAACACAATAATGTGGTGAACAATATAATTGTATATTATGTTTACTGATATATATGTATTTTAAAAACAATAATATTTTATAGTATTTATTATGATTATAATTATGAAATCTATGTAAATGCAACTTATATAAAATTTAAACATGAAACTTTAAAAATTAAAAGAAATGGATATATTCCATAATTTATTTGATTTTTATTCTAAATGAAAACTCAAAAAACTATCAAAGTATTTTCAAAGTTAAGGTTATTTGAGATTATTTAAAACATTTACAACTTTTCTTATCTATTTTAATATAATTAATATTTATTTTACCAAATTGTTAATAGCAGTAAATAATAAAATTCATAATCTATTTTGTATGTATTGCAACACATTTTATGCGTAATAATTAATATTTTATCATTTATGATTGTTTTCAAATTCGAAAATATAACTTTTTTATTGTTGGATCAAACGTTAAGTTGTCAGTATTTGTTCATGACGAGAATGCGAAGCGAAATGTAGGATAAATAAATTTTCTAATGTAGGAACGAGAACCTATAATGATGTACCGCGACACATAATAACGCACCTATGAATCAATCCACTACCTATAGACATACAATCTATGTGGGATACCAATACCTGTAGGGGAATCGCATTATACGTTTATTGATGTCATTCGTTGTATAGGTACGTCCGGAGCAAGTTTATATTTTTATTCTATCATGTCGCATTTTAATCAACCATGTGGAGTACTGGTATACTGAAGAAGATGTGATCAATACACAATAACCAATGAATTAATAATACATGCATTCAATTGCTTGTTTACAGGCCGCAATATAAGTAATAATATGTCTGTGTTGGCCAAACAGTTGTGGAATTTAAGAATTACAATTTGTCGTGCTAAAAAGTCCACATCAGCCCTTACAAGCATATCACAAGGGGATGTAGATTTTGCCAAAGAATATTCGGAATTACCAGGCCCTAAGTCGTTACCATTGTTGGGTAATAATTGGAGGTTCATGTCATACATTGGTAAGTGTGTATTATAATTTATAATATATTATATCAACATATTATGATGCATCAAAGATTTATAAAATTTAATAATGAACTACAGAGTAAAAAATATATTTTATTTCGAGATATTTCTTGAATCATTAATTTAATAGACTTTTTATTATTTACTCTAATACTTATTATTATATTTACAGTTGATGTATATATATATATATATATATATAAATATCTTATCATATTAAATATGATCTATACTATTTTGTAATATAATATCATGTTGGTACAAAGTTATAGAAATTTAATTATTCAACAATTATAAAAAGAAAATATATTAAGGCTGTTAGGACAGATAATTTGGAATATTGGAAATTTATTATTTATGAAATGCTTATTATGAATGTGTATACATTAATAAACGTCAGTTTAACAAAGCTAAAAATCACTAAAATCCTATAATATTTCAAATGATGCTTAAAAATGTTTTCTTAACCTACTTATTTATTTGTTGAAACTGTTTAAAGTTAAAGATTTTTTCAAGCAGATCCTAGGACCTAAGTACCAACGATCTGATTTAATTTTTGTAAAATGATTTGTATTCTTTAACTTTTTACTATAGATTATGTAGGAAACAAATCAACATTTAGAACTTAATAAATATTATATAGAATTGAAAAAATATTGTTAATAATACATTTTTTTGAATATAATTTTAATTTTAAAGTTATTGTTGAATAAAAAATTAAAAAAATATTTTTTCTACATAACCTATGACAGAATTAAATGAAATAAATTAATTTATATATTCAAAATGTTAATTGGATATTGAAAAGTATATAAAAAACCATCCACTTATTATACTGAACTGTAAAACTAATAGAAAATATAGAGTGCTCCAACAGCCTTAATAATATTATGTTAAACAAATACAATAGGTATATGAAACATTTAATCTTCCTGCATACATTTTAAAAAACGTGTTTAGATTAATAATATTTTAATTTTATATAATATTTCATATAAATACATAGGTGACTATAAAGTAACTGAAATAGATAAACTCTCATTGAGATTATGGAGAGAGTATGGAGACATTGTAAAAATTGAAAAATTACTCGGGAGACCAGATATGGTATTTCTGTACGATGCGGACGAGATTGAAAAAGTATTTAGAAATGAAGAGCTTATGCCACACCGGCCGTCTATGCCATCATTAAATTATTATAAGCACGTTTTACGGAAAGATTTCTTTGGTGATCTGGCCGGTGTTATAGCTGTGTAAGTAAACATTATCAGTCACGTATTAATTTAAGTGTTTTTATTTCATAAGTTTTCCTTCAATCATCAATATGATATATACATGAAAAAAAAATAAGTATATAATAAGCTAAGTAAAATAAGTACACACACACACATATATATATATATATATAATAGTTCTAAGTTGTACACATTATATTATAACTTGTAAGGACACTTATATAGGCTATAATATAAGACTACGTATAAATAGATATAAACTATGATGCTTTGATGCGTGACCAAAAACTCATATAATACGTTACAGTCTAAAGAATTCGAATTCTATATTGAATTTTAGAAGATTCCATTAACGGTACTTACCTAATTTACGTTTTAGTCATGGTCAAAAATGGTATGAATTTCGAAGTAAAGTACAACAACCTATGCTGCAACCAAGAACAGCAAAATTTTATATCGGAACTATTGAAGACACGGCAACAGCGTTTGTAAATAGGTTAGTAAAATATTAAATTATTATTAGTAGTTATTATGTAGTATTAATTTTAATTTACACAGTATCTATCCATTCACGCTAATATTATTGTATATAACAACTAACAATACAAATATTTTTATTTTTATATGGTATAATAATTAATATAATTAATAAATTAATAAATGGTCAAAAAAAGGAACGCTGGGTGGGAAACCTATGGAAAGTTGATACATTGGAAATATCATCTATACACCAAATCAAAAAACCAAAAATATTATTTATCCAACACGTGTCATATGTCAAATGTTAATATTATGCAACCAAATTTAACACAGATATATTTTGTACGGACAACAAATTACCTACACGGAGATAGCTAGTTTATGTATAATATATATTTTCACAACTAAGTGTATACCTAATAACCAATAGGTATAGTTGCTTAATTTAGTTGTAATTAATTTTTTTAAATTATATATAGAGCGTAAAAAAATAGATTTTACTTTTTTTATAATATTGGTAGAATTTAAATTAATTTTTGTTGTCAAAAAATATACGGGTGTAACTTACAGTGCATGTATTCGACTTTCAAGAAAACTTTAGTACTTTAGCACTAGATTTTAATAGGTATAAATCTATAGACTACTAGCATTTTTAACCTTTAATAATTTATCAACTTTGACAAACTAGGTATAGGTAATCCATTTAAAAAATATTACAGTAAAAATTTCTTTCATTTATTAACATTTGTTTTCCAATTTAAACATTGTTAAATGCGATATAATTTGTAACAAACAAATATGTTATAAATCACTAATTTTAATAATAATGAGTTATAGGTGCTTTTTAATTTTTGATTATTTTACTAGTAATAATTATTATTATATCGCATTGCTATGTTAATATTAATGTGAAATATATAAATATGTAGATACCTATAATTTCGTATTATAATGTATAAAGTACCTATGCATTTTTTTTGTTTAGGATAAAAAAAATAAAAAATAATTATCAAGAAGTTCCTGATGACTTTTTAAATGAAATTCATAAATGGTCGCTTGAATGTAAGTCGGTTACATATATAGCGTAATTGCTTAATGTTCTTATAAAAAGTAATACATTTATACCAATTATTTTATGTTTTCAGCTATCGCTAGAGTGGCATTAGATCAAAAACTCGGATGCCTTGAAGATGAACATACTGTAGACTCGGATACACAAAATTTAATAGACGCCATCAACACGTTTTTTGCAAATGTTCCAGAGTTGGAATTGAAAATACCATTTTGGAAATTATTTAGTACGCCGACTTGGAGAAAGTATATAAAAGCGTTGGATACTATTACCAAGTGAGAGTTAAATCTTATAAAAAATCGATTTTTAAAATTATTATTCATATTTATATACTTAAAAAAAATAGTTGTGCATGTACCGGAAAATATAACAATGAATCTATGTCGATAATAACTATCTTGTCATTAATGATTAAGTCGGAAATCAGGTTGTTTAAACTGAAACTCATGGGACTTAATCCAATTAAAAATCTTTCATGTCTTTATAGAAATAAATAATTTATTGTTATATTTTCCATTATAATTATTTCTCAAAATTTTAATAAAAATGTACTTTTTTTTATAGATTTTATATAATATTTTCTTAGTGTTAGATAATGATTTTGATTGGCGAAAAATTCCTTATTTTCCATGAAGTAACTATGTGAATATCAAACACATCATTATTTTGAAAATAAATTATAAGAATTAGAAAAATTTTTTTTGCTGTATAATTGGTTTAAATTTGATTAATTTAATGAATTGTTTTTAGTAGGTTTTAGTCTTTAGGAGTATAAAAAAAAGATTCTAATAAAAAAAAGATAGATAATTTGAACTTCAAACGTTTATCAAATAAAACTGCAGGTGTAGGTATCTCCGATTTTACTTAATTGCTACCAACTTTGAAAAGGGTATTCTATCTTATTTTCAAACTTTGGGTATTTAAATTAAAAATAATATGAACATAATACATAATAATTATATAGTGATATAATATAATAATATACAAAATTATATATTATATATATATACGTAGATAATTCATTCATAATAAAAGAATATTTGGAATTATATCAGGTGTAAGTGCATTTAAAGTTATAACTCAAGTAAACTAATTATTTTAACAAACAATAAAATAATTTTAGCTTTAGTTAACTGAAAAATAACATAATTTTTTTTATGTAAATAGTATTGATAATTTATTTTTTAAAACGTGTAGATGTTTACAACACTGTTTATTATAATACGGAAATATTTATAAAATTTCCAACGTCACCTTAAGATATCTGCACACTGCGGTTATTTGACAATTCCTAAACTATCATGTTTCCGAAACAAATTTAAGCATATAATAAATTAATAATATTATTTATATTTATTTATAGTTTGATAAATATTAGTTATAAAATGTACATTAATTGAAAATGTGTGTTGAATTATACGTTTCGGTTCTCGGCATCTCGCTTATTGGTCATTATAACTAATTATAGATAATAAAAAATTTATAATTTAATAGTGATCAAATTTCTACTGTTACACAATAATATAACAAATATTGTATTGTCGTTTATTATTATAGTGTTACGTCTAAACACATAAATCGATCTATGGATCAATTATTATCTCAAAAATCATTTCATCCGGATAGTCAATCATCTTTGTTACAAAGAGTACTTAGTTTGGATCCATCTAATCCAAAGTTAGCTCAGATACTGTCGTTAGACATGTTCATCGTTGGCATAGACACGGTGAGATGACGTCATGCAATAATGAAGTTGTCACTAATAAATAATAATTTTCAACGATTTATAGACCTCAGCAGCTCTCGCATCGATTCTTTATCAATTAAGTCGACATCCAGAAAAACAAAAGAAACTAAGAGAAGAAATACGAACTGTGTTGCCAAATGCTGATTCAAAATTAACTTCTAACAAACTCGAACAGTTACAGTATCTAAAAGCATGCATAAAAGAAACACTGAGGTTCGAAACTGAATTTTAATTTTGTGAAAAGTATTATTTATTTAGTAGAAATTTAAACAGGACTATATAACACATGTAAATCATTTATTTGTAGAATGTATCCTGTGGTTATTGGAAATGGTCGCTGTATGACCAAAGAAACAATAATAAGTGGATATAAAATTCCAAAAGGAGTAAGTTTATTTGCTACTTAGTACCTATTAAATAATAAAAGCTGTACCTTTGCAAAAATAACATTTTATATTTAGGTATAAAATATTTATTTATAGTTAATTATAGTAAATATTTAAACTAATTTAACTCGAATCATTGGTTATAATGTAGGATCGTTTGATTCGGGGTATTGAATAACGACTAATGTTTGGATATAACGGTCGATGTTATTTAATTAAATAGTTACTAGGATCATATGGAATTATGATTTTGTAATTCAATTCATATTTGTTACCTAAACATATATATTATGTATATGTAGATATGTTATATGTGTATCGTGTATGTAAATTATATTGTTTAATAATAGGTGCAAGTCGTGTTTCAACATTACGCTATTAGTAATAGCAGTAGATACTTTTCACATCCAGAACAGTTTTTACCGGAAAGGTGGTTAAAAAACAGTGGTTATAAACACCACCCGTTTGCTAGTTTACCATTCGGTTATGGAAAAAGAATGTGCTTAGGCCGTAGATTTGCCGATTTGGAACTTCAAACAGTTGTTTCAAAGGTAAGTTTCATATAATACGTAAATTTGTGTGAAATATCGTAATAATTTATTTATAATTGTATTTTTTTTTTTTTACCAAAGATTTTTCAGAACTTTGAAGTCAAGTATGAGTATGGTGATTTGGAATACACTGTCCATCCAATATACATGCCAGATGGTCCATTGAAATTTAAAATGATTGAAGACTAAACATTTTTATGAAATTGTATGTCAATGCTATATACTAAATATTTAAAATATATAATTTTGTTTTAATAATATGTACCTGTATATAGATAAAAATACATTAACTTGTTAATGACTACTTTAGTAATGTTGCTATTGTGAGTTCGATATAAACACTCACAACGATATAATACAAATATCTTTATTGAAAATAATATTACATAGAAATATAGAATAATATGGACGTGCATGTATAAAGGAAAATAACAGAACAAAATGGTTATATACGAAGTATTGACGTGTAGATGCGCGTCGTACGTTGCGGTAAGACTGGTTGTTTTTAACGGCCAAGCAGCCGCTGATATATATAGGCTTTAACTCGTGCAGAATGTTCCAGAATGCCCTTGTAACCCGGCGTTCGTATTACGCACGACGTCGCGCCACGAGAACTTTCTCGAACTCGCCCCGCCAGACGAATATAGAATTTTCTCGAGCGCCAATGTAGTAGACGGTGTCGCCGCTACACTATTAACTCATACCATTGAAATGTAAATAATTTAAATATACTTTAAATAATATACTATGTATATATTATCTGAGGATTATTGATGTTTGGTAATAATATTTATGATTTGTTTCGGATAGGATTTGAACCATTTGAGGTTTATTGTCCAACATACAATATATATCTATATAAAACTCATTTCAATACGTAGAAATTTGATCAATGAATATTATTATTATTTTTGCATATTATGTTATTGTTATATTATTATTATTATTATTATTATTGTATGTGTTAAATTTATAATACGCTATTAATCAACTTCTATTTCATTATTGACTTTAACTTGTTAAGATCTTTTAGTGACTACTGACTTTTAAACCATAATATTAAAACTACAAAAATTATATCAAATTTTGCGCCCCTGCCAGGCACTAACCTTACCTGAGAATGCAACATATTTTTACAGCATGTCTTAAAAAATATTCAAATTATACATATACATACCGATTAAAAATTTAGGACAGTATGTCTCACATTTTGTAACTTATAGAGTATAGCAGAAACTTTTTAAAAGGTATCATCAAATTTCAATGGATCAAAAACTATTTAAGTCGGAATGTTAGGTACCTAGTTCTCAGTAAAATTATATTATTATTTATTATTATTACTATTATACGCTCTATAGTATCGGTAACGATTTGTTTAAAACGGAATATCTTTTTTTATCTCACGTGGATAATAAAAATGAACAAGTAAAAGTTTTTTTAATTAATTTATAAAATTAATAGAATAGGTATATTAGCCAGAAAGAGAAAAAATACAGATAAAATTAATTAAAAAGCTACGCATTGCAAAACAATTATAAACGTAAATTATTATAAAATAATTACTCAGTAATAACATGGTAGGAATAAGTACCTACCTAAGTGATTGTTTATTTATACGAACAGTAGAACAGTGGTTACTACTGCTTCTATATTTAGCACATATTTTAATGATTTCTTTTTTAGAAAGACTAATATTCCACTTCAATAGTCAACCAAATACCTATAGGTATTACTCTGGACAAAAGGTCAACCTGGTCAAACCACACCAAGCAAAAACGTAAACAACTTAACTCTCGTCTACATCTGCTTAGACCTCTACTAAAAACAAACTTGAGTCTCAAAAACAAACTACTCCTATATAAAATCAATCATAAGGCCATTATGGTCATATTATGGCGTCCAAATTTGGGGCCCAGCCAAACTCGCAAACATTCGCCTTATTCAAGCCTTCCAGCCAATTACCTTAAGACTTATCACTGGTGCTCCATAGTACATAACAAATGCAGCTCTTCATAACGACCTAAAAATACCAACAGTAAACGAACTTGTAAAAAGCTACTGTAAAAGTTTCCATTCAAAATTATCAAACCACATAAATCCTTTCATTAAAAATATGTCATCTCTAACATTACCACAAATTCCCCATCGATTAAATAGAAACTAATCCAGAGATCTTCTAAAATAAGAGGAAAAAAAATAATATTTTTGAAATTTTGTTGATGAACGGTCTCCTCTTTACGTGAATTGTTTGTGTACATTTATATTATCATTATTACATATTGTTTTTATTTTGTAAACAGATTGAATATATTTAAAGAAAAAAAAAACTAATTATTATTATGTCATTGCTCGTCTTTTTAACCGAGCAATTTAAAACAATAAATTTGTAGAACTTATCGAAGGCTAAATTGAAATTAGTGTGTACCAATTGAAGTTGAAATAATGAACCCCGTTATGGGTACTACTGTACTAGCATTTATTGAGTATTATTAGTAGGTAATTATAATAAATAATATCTACTAGTTTTAATTTCAATCGAAGTGAGGACTAATAATCGATTTAAGGTAAGTACATAAAATAGACCAAATCCACGTATAAAATAACCGAAATTGTGGACAATTATACAAAGACAATTTTTTTTTTTAATTTTCCATAAGATTTGAGAATTTTTCAATGTATGTTTTACTAGCGTTACAAGCAACGATTGTTGTAATTAAAACCGACCTGACTAATATTATCAGAAATAAGTCGAGTATTTAATATTTATCAGATTCTATCTTTTCTTTATCAATAGGTAGCTGGTTCTATGATATTCATTATTCTTATGTTATCTGTTATTCTACGCAAATGGTGTGTGCTATTATCACAGAATATTATTCATTAATTCATTATTCTGTGCCGTTATAATCTCGAATGTAAAATATAACTCATTACGTATGTAATTACTAATTACTACAAAATAACTATTTAAATAACTTATTTGTCTACAATTGTTTGATGCAAATAATGTTATATTAGATAGCTGTTGCCTGATACGGATACATTTTATACAACAATAAACTTTATAATAAAAATAATATATTACAGTTAAAATGTCTGCCAAGGTAAGATGTGCTTGATTTTTATTTTTGTTATAATGTAAGTACATGTTATTGTAGTATTAGATGTTCTACCTATTTGGATCTTAACTGATTAAGTTGATTATTGTTTGATGTTACGGTTTGTATTGAATATTACATTTTTTTCTTTTACTTAATATTATAATGGATAATATCTTAGGTATCTATGATTTACAATATTTTTAATTGACCATTTATTTTAACTATATAGTTAGAATTTGCTGTGAAAATGTCTTCTCCGTCATGTGTTGATAAAATACAAGATCAATTAAGCCAAAATGGTATTTCAAAATCAGATATTCATATATCTTATGAAACCGGAACTGTTATTGTTACTACAGATCAACCATCATCTCTTATTTTAAATTCTATTGAAAAAACTGGCTTTAAAGCAGTACTTAAAGGATATGGAAGTGCTTCATGTAAGAATTGTATTGTTCAGTTTTTATTACACATGTATTTTATTTAACTTAATCACTTTTTTTTTAAGATGAGAAGAACTTAGGTGCTGCTGTTGCTATGTTAGGTGGATCAACTGGTTATAGTAAATTAGGTATAAATGGTGTTATTCGGTTTGTTCAGTTAAACAATAGTGAATGTATAGTGGATGGTACTATTGATGGTTTACCTCCAGGAAAACATGGTATCCACATATATGAATGTGGAGATTTATCTAATGGATGTGAGAGGTTTGAATAATTTAAATCATTTTTCATGATTCTTTTAATTGAACTCATTTATTTTTAGAATTGGAGATCATCTTAATTTGAAACAAACATCACATGGCAATAAAAATGATGACCCAAATTTCAGGGTATGGTATAACAAAATTTTTTCTATGATATACTTTGTATCATTATAAAACTTAAGTTATACTCTAATATTCTGCTTTGTCTTTGGGCTATAATAGGCACAATATAAGTATGACTGATTTTTAATGAGTTTACATATACAAGAATTTTAACTATAATAATTGGTTGGTACTGTTTATCATTTATTGTTTTTTGTATTCAGTTTGCTCATTAATATTTATATTACAGCACACAGGTGATTTAGGAAATATCACTGCTAACGAAGATGGAAGAGCAGTATTTTACTTTAAAGATAAAATAATAAATGTATCACATTTAATTGGTCGAGCAGTTGGTATTACAGAAAATGAAGATGATTGTGGCAGAACCAAAATTAATACATCAGATATTGATGGAAATAGCGGAAAAAAGTAAATTAATATTTATAATTGATTTATTAAATAAAAAAATATAAATCATTTGAAGATTTATTTTTAGAAGAAATACTTAAAATTAAAATTTACCTAATCTGGTAGGGTGTGAGTTGTTGTAAGCTATGATCTAGACATTAAATCTATTTAAGTGTTTTTTAACCTATGGCAGTGGTTCTCACAATCCTTCATCCCCCTTAATTGAAAAAATATATAAATACTTATTAACATATAATAATATGCGTTTAAAATGTATGTATATTATTTAAAAAAAAATTATAATTAAATATATTTCATTTAAATATTAAATTGATTTTTTTTCGGTTTTTAGTAAAATCGTCAATTGCATGATTATAAGTTAATATTTATTGTTATGTAGTCAACAAAATTATAATAGTACGTGGTTGATTTAAAAATTCTATTCTTTTACATTAAACACAAATGAAAATATTTAAAATTAAGTATTTGATTACTATTATTATATAATTTGTTTATTATTATGTCAGAGAAGCCCTATAACAAAATTTTTTTATAAAAACATATATAAAACTCTTAAATACTTTAAAAATATACATTAACTTTATTTTCGAGTAGTTTAATTAATACATGGATAATATCTAGGTCAATAATTAGTGTACATACAAATCAAAACCATATCCACATTGCATATATGTGGAATTATTACCTAATTAACTGATTGTTATTTTGATAAATGTTATATTTGAAAAAAAATTTACAAAAATAAATATTTTGATATTGAAAAATAACTACAAATTTGTCTTTTCTAATTTTAAACATATTTCTGTCTACTTGGCGTTTTACTTACAATTATAATTGCACAAGAAAAATGTGCAAATGCTAGTAGTGTTCTGCCCTAATCATTAGTAATCAATTCCTTTTTCAACAATTAAACTATCATTGTTTTATTTTTACAGAATTGCTTGTGGTATTATTGCTAGATCTTCTGGTTTATTTGAAAATAACAAAAAGATATGTGCTTGTGATGGTGTAACACTTTGGGAAGAAAGAGATGTACCATTAGCTGGGCCCGGTAGACAAAGAAAAATATAAATATGTATGTGTTAAAGGTATTAAACTAAATAATTGTTATTTTAGTTCTAAGGGTAAAATGGTTAATAAAGATAAAATATTCTTGTACCAGTTGTATTTTTGTGCTATTTAGATTCTATATATATTTTATCAATATAGGTATTCAAGCAATAAAAATGTCAGTGTAAAAATGTATTTTTTTTATGTATATAAAAAGTGCATGATGACAAATATGTTTACAGTAAAATCTGTCACAATAATAATTAATTTTTATCCTAAATAATAAAATGATAAATAATTTAAAAATTTAAAACACAAATAGCAAGAAGACTTTTTTACTTTTTACAGTGATTTTAAATCAAGTACTAGTAAAATAGTTCTTTTATAAACAATACTCATCTTAAAATAAAAAAAATATTTACTATAAATAGTAAATGTAATATTGCAATTTTTAAAGTATTAAATTATGTATTTATATCTGAAGTAGAATTAAGACAAGCCTCAGTAGAAGTAGGATTAGACGAATCAAAGGTAATTGTTTGCATAGCCTCAGTAACAAGTTGTTGCAAATTTTTTGGTAGAGTATTCATTTCATTAGGATATTTATCAAAATTAATATCTGAAAAAAAAAGAATATTAATAATATATGATAAATAATAAGTATAATGTTTAAAAGAACTTTATCAGTGAGTGTAAAAATCAAATTTAACATTCAAATCAGACAGCAGAGGATTTATAATCAAGTAGTTAGTTAACTTATCTTAAAACTTAAAATGGTTTAAATAATTAAAAATTGTTGCCTAGTTTTTGATTCTTTTAGTTAAATTGCTCCCACTTTATTATTTTCAACAAAAAAACTTTACATTTATTTTTATTTAATAATTATATTATAAATTAGGGGTGGCCAACTTGTGACTCATCATCTTATTTATCAAATCAAAATTTACATATTATGATCTTTAACTTTTTTGGTATACAATTATAAAAAAATTATCAAGTTATGAAAAATAAATTAATAAGTAGTTTGTATATTGATATTATTGTATTTATTCATGCAGCTGAAGAACACATTCATGTTGGTCACCATTAAGCAGACTTACTTTTGATAATAGAATCATCTTCTTTATAAATTAAGCAACTATTTGACTCTGAAATAAAATAAAAGTATAATTTTATAAAATTAATACATTAAATATATTGTTACTACCTGTTAATCGTATTTAAGAATTAATATCAAGTAGTGTCATAGGTGTATCAATTAAGATATTGGTTTTAAAGCTAACCAGATCTTTACAATAATGGTAAAATTTGATAACTTCTTTTAAAAGTGTTATTTTATGAATAGGGAATTAGAAATTATCCAATTACTGAGAATGCAAATGTAATAATATTAACATGCATATACAATAGTGGATAGTTTAGGCTCAAAACATTTAATAAAACTAATTTTTAATTGAACATATAATTTTTTAGTTATTCATTTAATTATATAATATAAATATTTTTCAAAAAATTAAATATTTTAAGTAAGTAACTTTAAATTTTCTAATCAATGTTTATAGAATATCATATGATGTTATTTTACTAACCATCAATAGAACTTGTTTCAATATCAGTTTCATCAGATGTATTTGAACATTCATTCAACAAAACCAACGAAGGTGATATAATGGCTTCACCTTGGTTAATTGTTTTTAACTTATTTTCCAAGTCTTCTAATCGTTTAGCTAATACTCTAAGCATAATTTAAATAATATTACATATTTAAAAATATACCAAATTATATATAATAATACTTATTTGTCTTTTTTTGATGATTAAGTGCTATATTTTTATCTTGCAATGCTTCAAATAATGTCTGACATAACTTTCTTAAATCTGCAAGTGTTGTGCTGTTTGAAAATAAAGCTTGAAGATTTCCAGTTTCCAAAATTTGTTGCACTAAATGAAATTAAAATTAAAATTTGTTGATATAAATACTAGTATAACTTTAATATTACTCACTCTGTTTGCAAGTTATTACTTTGCGGGTTATTGAATTATTAGCAGTTAATAAAGATAAATCATCATTTGTTGTTGATGTACTCTAAAATAATAAAATTGTATTAAATGAATACATTTTAATAGCAAATCTAATCAACGTGAACTTTAAATATAGTAGAACATTGTTAATGTTAATTTTTAGCACTAAAAATATTACATTTTTTAGTTAATTACGTTAAAAAGATAAGCAAGTTAGTGAAGTATTAAAGAATAAAAACACTACATCATGATTAAAATATTTCAGTTTTGGTTGTAAAAATATGGTTACTTTATTGTAAGTAATTTATAAGTAAAACTAGATTATGCAATCAAGAACTCTGAAAATTACAAATATACTAAATATTGATGCCATGCAAGTTAGATAACAAGTCTGTACTAAAGCAATACATTATATCAACTCTAAAAAAAAAAAAAATTAGTTTTAAAAAGTAATTAACTGTTTTTATAGAAGTTATTAAAATAATGACTGCTATTAGAAAAATTAATTTATATTGTGTAAAAATGTAATGCTTGCCTGTTATTTTCTCTTTTTATTCCAGCATGAATTTATTATTTTTGCAATATAAATAGCCATGTACTCGGCCAATTTTTTTTTTTATGTATCAATTATAAATAATATAATAAACATAAAATAGTGCATTTTTCAAGAAGTTTAAATTTGTCTTGTAATTAAAAATAATGTAATTTTAAAATTACTAATTATAACTAAATTTAAATTAAGATTAATTTGCATATATGACAAAATATTTTTTTTTTACACATACTTAATACTTATTCAATGTTATTTAAAAATATTAGTCGAAAAATTAAAAATGTATTGCAATGAATTCATATTTTTCTATACCAATTAATTGTTTGAAAAAAAAGAAAAAAGTGCACAACAATATTAATACAAAATGGTATCAAATACGGCATAAATTACAAGAATTAATCATTGTACATGAACATATACTTTAATAATTCATATTCAACTCATCAACTGCACAATATAAACAGTCTACATACAAAAATTGTACCATAAGAAGCTGTAAAGGACATAAACCTGGTATAATGAATTTGTTTTCCTTAACATTTCCTTTTCGGCAATCTCTAACTGCAGTCTTTCATTTAAATACCTAAATAATATGCAATTGATATTTTTTTAATTCATTCTAAGTTATTTATTATTTATTTTAAAATACATACTTGTTTTCTAATAATAAACTATCTATATCTAATACAAGTTGATTTTTATTGGCATTTAAAGAAGCTGCTAATTGATAATTTAAACGTCTTATTTTATTTCGAACTCCATCTCGTTCAGTAATTAATTCTTGCTTATCGTCCAGTAATAAACCAAAATCAAGCTTTAATTGTTGATACTAAAAGTGAATATAAAATAATTTTTTTAAATATATTTAAAAATTGTATATTGACACAATAATATAATATACCTTTGAATGTATTATTTCTAAATTTTTGACTAATTCTTCTTTACTATCAGAGCTTGTTAAAATTGTATTGATACAATCTTTGACAAAACCACCAGTTCTTAAAACCTTTTAAAAAATAAATAAATATGATTTTTTTTTTTTTTAAATCATTGTTAAATATTATACACCAGAATTATTCTTATTTATTATTGGAAGTTTTAAGTGTTCTTAAAAATATTCTAAAACAAAAATACAAAAACTAATCAACAAATTTTGTGTTGTTAAATATTTAATAGTTTTTTGATGGAAGTCGTTCAATTTCTTTGTGACGAATTATTTTAATTTATTTAATAAATGATTTTATCCAGTTTATTTGTTAGTGATTAGGCCATCATTTAACATAACTTCAAGTACATTTCAAAAAATTCAAACTGAAGAAGGAAGTTCTCCTTATTTATGTTTTTTTGAGTAGTATCAATAATTTTTTTCACTAGATGATATTTTTACTTTGGATATCTTGGAAAATAAAAATTTATTCTTAGATTCATATGCATAAAGGTATATATATTTTAAACTGAGTTAATCAAAATAGAAAATACAAAATGTGTATTTATAAAATTTTGATTTATTTCATAAGTATCATTATAAAACTGTTCCACTTCTCCAGTAAAAACTAAATATCAAAATATTTAATAGATAAAGTCAAATAGATTTTAAATTCATACATTGACATCTGTTGCTACACTTTATCTTAAAGTTAGAAATTAAAAGAAATTGTTTTAAGTAGGAATTTTTTACTTTCTACTCCAAATTCAATCTTTTAATATAAGTGGTTATTTTATTAAAATAATAAATTGAAATGACAACAATTTATTTAAAAAGTCTTACTTGGTTGTCACCTTGAGCATCCTGTAGTTTTTGACGTATATCCTCTACTTCTAATCTCAGTTTCTTATTTTCTTCTCTAAGTTGATTCACAAGTTTATCATAATTCAACTGGTAGTTCTAAATTATGTAAAAATGTAATTTTAATAGACAATCTATTTTAAAAAATAAATTATTTTACTCTATTGTATGTATTATGTAGCATTTTATTTTCCAAAATTATTTTCAAATGATCACGTTCTATTCGACATTTTTCTAATTCTTCACTTAATACAGTGAGAGCTGCAGTCTTGCTATTCAATTTCTGTTCCAAGGCAGTACTCTGCACAATTTCATGTTTTAAAAAAATTATTATACAATGTACAAACTACCAAGTATAATGAATACAATTCAGCAGCATGCATTATATTTTAAAGATGTCAATTAGAAAATTATACACATATTTTAAGTAAAAATCACTTACATCCATTTTTGAAAATTAAATTATTGATTATTAAATGTACTGAGTAGTTACGTTGATTATTATTTATTTTAACATATGTTACAACGTTGAAGATACACTAAAATTTTAATTTTTTTTTTAATTATCATTTAAAAACTATAATCAATCAATTAAGAAATAAATCATGTTTTCATGTAAAAATTAGTGATATAATTTTATGTATAGTTTTTAAGAAATAAATCAGCCTCGTATTTTAAACTAACTCATGTGTCATCATTATTTGACAATTATTAATAACTGTAATTAAACAATAGCTTATAGAAAATTGAGTTTAAACCTATAAAATGTAGGTAATATTTAATATGATGTTCAATAATATGAGTTAATAGAGTTATGTATACATTGCATATGGTAATTACTATGATATTAATACAGTTTTATGATAACACGAATTTTGGTTTGATAAAAAAAAATACAGTGATACAAAATATGATAACCACAAGCGATCAATAATAATAAGTGATGGTAACGGTTATCTAAGGCCGTGGTGGTGATCAGTAATCACTGATCATAATTCTAAATTCATAACACAAAAATAGTTATTCTCAATTCTCATGATTATTGATTTCAATATTTCATTGACATTTATGTTTTATTATGATTATTCTGTGATTGATAATTAATAATTATTGCTCATAGATAATCAATTTTATGGACATTGGTCACCATTTAATACAAGTCAGTGAAGTCGCATTACCATTATTCCTTTATCTTAAGTTACTTTCAAGTTTTAACTATTGACATAAGCTCTTGATCGACAAGATTACGACACAAAATATTATACTTTAACTTTTAGTAGTCAGTATTCTGTTATATATACTTCTATTTATCATTTATCTTCAACCATGTACCCAAACATTTAAACTTATTAACATGGTAATACTTGAATAATACACATGATACAAAAGTTATGTAGTGTAGCATGGTAATAAAATTTTAAAATTTGGTTTGCTGGGCACTATGTAAATGAAAATCAATATAGTAGTGTCCAATACAATTTTTCAGTCTACAAATTACAATTTTCATGTACTATCTATGGTAATAACATTTACGCTGGGAATTAGGGTGTTATATATTTATACAGAATTATTTACCAGTATTTTATTTGTATTTGAAATCAAAACAAGTGGTTAAAATTTTTTTAATGTTTTATATTGCATGACGAGAATCAAGAAATAAAAATTATATAAGATAAAAAATCATTTTTAAATTATTTCTAATTAAGAATTCCTATGAACATTAATGTCATCATACAACTTATATGTATGTAACAAAAATAAAATAGTATTAGATGTTGTACATCTACCATTTAATTTATAAATAAAATGTAAAACTTAAAAATAATAAACATTTAAACTATAGAGTTTAAAATTGTAGAAATTATCAATTCTACAGAAATGAAAAATATTTTATTTGTATAGAAGTGTATCAAATATTATTAAAAAATTAAATTAAAATATATAAATATATATACATACACAATGCATTATATTAACATAATATGAATCATATAGGATTTAAATTAGTATACAATAATAATATACTAACTATTTAGTAACGATATTTAGTAGAGTAATCTTTAGGAGAAACAACTAAACCACGTCCTTTTCTTGCACCTCTATATACTGTTTCAACGATATCTATCATTTCTTGTTTGTCTTCAAGTGCCCAATTAATTTTATTGTTATTTCCGGTACCCAAATCAATCATAATGTGTTTGTTGCGGAAGAAAAACATAACAGTACATGGATCATACAATTCATACCTAAATAAAATATAACCAATAATTTTAATAAGAACATAATTAAGTATATGTATAATAATCAATAAAATAATTTATTTAAACTTACATTTTATTAAAATCGGGTACTTTGGTGATGTCAACTAAATATATAACAGCAAAGTTTTTCACTTTTTCTGCAATATTATACAAAACTTCATCCATTTTCATACATGTAGGATCCCAATCGTGACCAAAACGAATAACCTGAAAATTATTATAGTTTAAATATATTAAACATGTACAATATTATTTTTATAATAGAGTATGAATCAATAATAGAATAAAATTATTTTTAAAATAATTTTAAATTTTAAAAAGTTAAAATACACTATATATATATAACAAGATTTCATTAATTAGATTTATTTTAGTAATAGAGATTCCTATAAAAATAAATTAAATAATAGAAGTAAAATAATATACTTTTATCCGTTAAGTTTATCAGACAATCAAAATTCTTTAAAATTTTTAGATGCAAATCTTTATTGTTATTTAAACAATAATAATTGACACCTAATAAATAGCAGAACGGTACCCACTTCCCTACTTATTTAAAATTGCATTTCCTATTTTTATTAAAGTTTTTTGATATAATTTAATATTCTATAATACCCAACTGATTTTGTTAATTATACCATGACAAATTGTTTCCATACATATTTTTTTCTGAAATCAAACATCCAAAATATAATATGCAATAAACTATCATTATATTTTCATGCTTGTTGTGATTTTGAATTAAACAAATCTATTAATATTTATAATAAAAACAAAATATTTCTTTTATTTATTCAATAAAATAAGTTTCTATCTTGAGTTCCATAAGCCAATGTTTTATTTTTATTTGATTTAAGTTTTTAAATTAAATTTAAGAAAAATTCTATAAATATGTTAATTTTAAGAAAAATTTTACTTCAACAATAGCAAAATAAGTAAATAAATAAAATAAAATATTGTACAATAAATTATTCTATGTTGATCACATACAAATTTTCTACATGAATTTGGTGAAAAAAAAAGTAAATGGATTCCAAGTAAAATAACGATTATAATTATAATTCCATACCTTTCTAATTAAATTTTAATATAAGTAAAATATTTTACTTACAACCACTCTATCTTCTTCTGAGAGAATTGCCTGATCAACTTGCCAGCCGTTAAACAAATGCGCTAACATATAAGACATATTAAATGATTTACAAAAACTTTTTCTTGAACAATGAGGTTTTGTTTTATATTAAATTAAACTACAATGTTAATTTATTTAATTTTCAAGTTCTGTTTAATGTTTGTAACTTGTAGGTAGAGTTGTACTGTTGATGTTGAACAATAACAAACACGATTTAGGGTCAGAAAAGACAGTATTACATTCAGTATCAAAAAATAATATCGATAATCTTTATCAATTTTTCCTTCAAAATCGGTTGGTAATCTTGGAAACTTTCATAATTATCAGTTATCACGTACTATAGTCGTCTATAGATGTATATACTACACTGGAACGCGCACTTATCAAAAAACGAGCCGGCTCCTTGAATCGTTTCCTCCACCATTGCAGGGCAAAAGAATTGAGTATTTGAGTGGCACAAAATGCAATTTCGATAATTTTATGCAATTTATGGTGTCAATGTCAAATTGTAAACTAGTTCCTGCTCTATTGTAAATTATTATTATTTATTTAATCATGGTTATTTCGTGTTCCTCATATGGGTGCACAAATAGACGGCAAAAAGGAAGCGGCATACAATTTCATCAGTAAGTAAAAACATAGGTACTCTTCATTTCTCTACCAATTATTCTAATATAAATAGTCATCAATCATAATATATAAGATAAAATTTGCTGTCTGATGAGTATACTTTATTTTCCTGACTTAGCTTTCCTCTAAAAAGGTCATCCGTTTTGGCAAATTGGATAAATGAAATGAAACGCAAAAACTTCAAACCTACCAAGTATAGCTATTTATGCAGCGAACACTTCACAAATGATGATTATCAAATTCGACCAGGATCAAATGTGAGATGGTTAAAAGATGATGCTGTTCCATCTATATTTAAAGAGTTTCCAAAACATTTACAAAAGAAAAAAGTTGTTCGCCAATTGCTATAAAGACATCCATTGGTAAATGTAATCATTTTACTTCATATCATTTTAATCATTTACAAATTTCAGATATTTTCATTACCTATTTTTATTTATTATCATGAAATATACCTTCATACTTCACACAACATAGTGGCTAATTTTGCAACTATGTTTTTTAACAACATTAAAAATATTGTTATATACAAATGTTGTATATAGATAGGCTAAGTTTTCTTCACTGAACATTTTCTAATTTTGAGACATCTAAACTTTTACTCAGTGACATATACAAATATTTAGATGTGCAACTTTTATAAACTTTTCCACCCCCAAAAAAATTGAAAATACACCATCTGGTTATTTTTATTCTGTTTTTATATATTAGCAACAAGTGTCTATTACCTCAGCCAGTGTGATATAATGGTGCATTATATCATTTTTTTGTATGAAAACCAATCATTTTTATTATTTATTAATTCAGGTTGACAATAGTTGTGATACATCTGTTGATACAGTAGGTACAGAATGCTCCAGTGCAAATATGGTACCATATTATATGGATCTAACTAAGGTAATTTGAAATTGTTACAAAATATTTAAATATATTTTGCATTTAGCAATCATAATTATTAATTACAGAGTTCAGAAAGTATTGAAAATAATAGTAAAAGTGTTCAGTGTTCCATAGAATCACCTACAAAAGCAATATTAAGAAAAAAAGTAAAAGTATTACAACAATGCCTTAAACGAAGAGAAACTAAAATAAAATCATTAAAAAATAATTAAGTTAACTTAATTGTTTCTAATACAATTTTTAATTTGTAAAATATATTTGTGTTAACACTGTTAACAGATCTTGTCATGGACATTAAGAAAAACATCCCCATGTCAGATGATATGATACAGCTTGAAGAAAATTTTGGTGGGATACCGTTAGCTTTATTACTGCATGAACGCAAAGCTAAAAAAATTGGAAAAAATGCCATACGCTATAGTGATTTTATGAAAGAATTTGCTAAGACGCTTTTCTTCTGTTTTCTTAAAGCTTATAAGTATGTACGCACGCTATTTAGACTTCCTCATCACTCAATTATTTGAAGCTGGATCAGCACTATGGAATGTGAGCCTGGGTTTTTGGAAGGAGTCTTCAAGTTTTTAAAACTTGAAATAACTTTAAAGAGTTGGTTACACGATTGTTCGTTGGTTTTCGATTCCATGTCGATTAGAAAACAACTAATTTGGGAACCTGATAAGGGAAAATATGCTGGAAATGTAGAATTTGGTATTGGTGAAAGTACAGAGCTTGCTATTGAAGTTTTAGTTATTATGCTTGTTTAAGTAAACAGTTTAAATGCCCAATTGCTTTTTTTTATGTCAATAAGATAAATAGTAGTGTCTTAAGTACATTATTATCTACAGCTATTGTAAAACTGCATGAGATAGGCATTTAGATCTGGAACGTGACCTGTGATGGTGCTTCTACTAACGTACAATGTTTTAAAAAGTTAGGCTGTAGTTTTGATAGACAACTTGAGTACAAAATTCACTATAGATAATTCTATAGAAGTATATTCTATGTTTGATACTTGCCACATGTTTAAGTTAGCTCGTTTTTCTTTAGCTGAAAACACATTTTTCAATCAAAAATTGGTGATATAAAGTGATCATATTTATGTTCTTTGAACTCTTTTCAGAATGAATTAGGATTTAAATTGGCAAATAAACTATCTGCATAACATAAATTACAGAAATGCAGTCATGAAGGTCAAGCTTGCAGCATAAACGTTGAGTAGTGGGGTGGCCGATGCAATTGAATATCTGTGTCAAAAAGGTGAACCTTCTTTTAAAAATAGTGAGGATGTAGTATATGCATCTCGATGACTATAGTTCGGCCAGCGAAAAGTGAGCCGCGATATCAATGCTCCGGGTGGCCGAATTTCATCAGGGCTTCTACAGCTATTTGGCGCGTAAATTAAATTCAAACTTGTTGTCATAAGAATATTATTATTTCTCCTTTATATTTTAGTAAATATGTATTTTTAAAGAAATAAAATAGGTATGATTATAGTACATGCAATTTATTTATTCAAACTAATAAATGTGCAATGTAAATAATATATATAAAATATAAATAATAAATAATTAAGTTTTTATACAATATTAGTTGTCATCGTCATAGTCACTTGAACTGTCGTCGGGATTTATGGTAAGAATAATAGGTTCCAAAATGTCGTCCCTTAGCATTTCCTTCACCAGGTCTTCGTCTTAAATTTTTGTACAACGTCACCGAATTTTGCCCAATTTTCTTTTGTCACTGCATCTAAGGCGTCAACACTTCAATATCTGCAATTTTGAACGAATAATTTTTTTCAGCGACTTCTCTCTTAACTTGTGCTCAAATCATTTCGATAGGGTTATACTGGCAGTGATATGGTGGCAGTCTCACTACATCATGACCCATTTGTAAAGCTATTTCGTTTAATTTATATTTTTTTCTTTTGGCATCGACAATTTAACTTTTTCTCGTAATTCACACAATGTTTCTTCGGGAGTAAATGGTATTGATTTTTCTTGTAGCTATTTTTGAACTTCTGCCTTTTTAGTATTAATCTTAGGGTAGTCTCCAGTTTTTATTGAATGGTATGAGGCATTGTCCATGACTATAATACATGGTTCCTCCAAATTACCTTACATATTAAGGAACCATTTTTCGAATACTATGTTGTTCATCTGTGAATGATAGTCTCCGGAACTACTTATGACTTGTACCGAATTACCAGTTTGGCATTTTTAACAAAGCCAAATGACGGTGACCCGGCATGGCACACAATGAGTCTACCGCTCTTCCTTATGGGTACCTTTAGTCCTTCAGTATTATCTGAATTTTGCCTAATGTACCCAGGGGTATGGTTTTGGTTTACCCACGTCTCATTCATTAAACAACTGGTCTCAAATCGTTATTACATCGAAACGCATTCATTTTTCTTAAAAATTTTACTCAAGAAGCAACAATGTCATTTTGTTCCATCAAAAAATTACGTCTATCATCACATTTTTTGTAATTAAAATCTAAATTTTTTAAAAGAACTTTCATGGACAATTTTGAACCCGGATAGTTGGTTTTTTCATGCATTGCTGCCAATATTTTTGCACTTGTAGGAAATTAATAATTGTTGTAAAATACTTATAGCACAGAAAAATCGATAAAACATACGTACACACAAACTCACAGGTTAGGGTGAAAAATGCTCTAAATATTAAGAAAATGCACTAAAATCATCTAAAAATGCATTTATGGTTAATTTTGCCAAAAATGCAAAAAACAAAAATTACTAAAAAAAAAAATCAGTATTACCCAAAATACATTTTATATTTACAGACCATCGTTTCAAAACACCAGAAAAAAAGATGCCTCTGCATTAAAATCCCAGCCCTATTTATTATTAATTCGGTTAGGTATATTATTATATATAATAAAGGTTTATCATTAAAGTTTAAATTTTTATTAATGCATAGATAATTTTATAATTAATATACCTAACTATATTAATAATAGAGTTAAAAAATTATTAAAGCTATTACCTATACATGCAATTTTTAAACTCCTTAGACAAATAATAATTAAGCATTTAACCAAATTCTTTAATTTAGTTATTGAAACAATGGCCAATTGATTTTCTAACCCTTATTTCTAAATTCATTAAGAAAAAAATCTTTTGATATACCTACCATTAAACTTATCACAACTTAATATTGATCATCAAGTTATTACTTTAAACGTCAATTTGTTTATAGATTTTCAAGGTTTTTATTATTTTTTTACATGTGTGACTTAGTTTTAATAATTTAATTTTTTTTCAGCTGTATGTATCTCGGAGTATCTAATTCAATACGTTTACGTTTATGATTGGAGAATAATTGTTTTTTTTTTTAATAAAAAACAACAGAGAATTGTATTAATATTTTTTAAGTAATCAATTTTCATCAGAGATGTTAAATTAATTTTAGTAACGGTTGATAAATCTAAGGTTAAATCTTCATTTAATTCTAAATGTGTTTCAAGTTTATGGATGTATTTTTAAAATTTTTCAAATGTTTTGCCAGATGAAATAGACGGAACCACCGAATTTTTAAATCAGGGCCGCGCCAAGGGGGGTTTTGGGTATTCAACCTCCCCCTTCCCGAAAATTTTTTTAGGCACGCCACTATTTTAAATATAACCGATAATTTCCCCCAGAATTAATTTTAAAGTTTGATATTAAAACATGTTCACTACAGAGAGCATAACATTTTGTAAAAATGTATCCTTTATGGCAAACTCGCAAACCTAAGTACATTTTAAATTTCTGATAATATACTTCAAAGAAACTAAAAACTAAAAATAGAAACCATTTATTTATATAATATAAAACTGTCACGGGTTTTGATTTTTTTCATTTAAGTACCCACTAACCTAAAAAAGTTAATTTTACTATTTTTTTTGTCTTCTGTTCACACATCCATGCGCAAAGCATGACACCATTATAGTTTATATTATAGGTAATTTAATGACATTATGTTACATACTAAATGAACAACGGCGGATTTACGAAGGGAGAGAATTTGAATTATTTTTACTTTTTTAGATACTAACAATAATTTTAAAGTTTTTTTATTAGTCTTTCCAATTTTATAAATTTAGAAATAAAGTAAAAAAAATTGATAGGAATCAACAAAAAATGTGAATACTTACTCTTATCTCACTGTTATTGCCGCCATTGAAACTTTGTGATTATATTTTTAAACCACAGTCTACAGGCAAAAAAGTTAAATATTCATTGAGAAACCAAAGATGCGAGTAAAAGAATCAATAATAAATAATAATTGATTAATTATCTCAATTATTGTTTTTTGAACAATAAATTAGGTATTGCTGGGACAAATACTTGATTAAAAATCAGTGATAAGCTATCTTCAACTGCAACTAGTAAGAACTAAGATTAATTAAATTATTTTAGTCTAACAAAATTTTAGGGAGAAAGCAGCGTATTTGTAAAAGGGTAAAGCGGCACTTGTGCTTAATCAGCCCCTGAAGTCTACGACTTCTTGATTTACAAATCATAAAAATATTTTAAGATGCCGTAGTAAAACCAAAACATTAATTGTAATTTGTGATACGAGTAGTTAAAAGGTATATTTCCAATTCGTTTAATAGTATTTTGCTGAATTTCCTAGATTTTGAATGTTTATTAGTTATTTCACTAATAAGAATAGAATAGAATTTCAACAGTTAGTTGATGTACAAGACGTATGTTCTTTCACTATTGATATGCATAACATTTTGACCTAACTTAAAATGTGAAAACTTAAATTAGCCTTAAATTGACAAAATGTAGTGAAAAATATCTTAGAAGTCTTTCAAACACTGTAGTGAAGATATTTATTCAAACATTCATTTTTTGTTTAAAATATTGGTTACTTTGCCCGTTTCTACAACAACATAATATGAACAATTTATATTGAAGTTATCATTTTATATTATACACAATGTCAGCATAACGTGTGTATGTAACGCCTTAAAATAGACTTATATATTTTTATAGTTATACATTTATAACTTATATACATGTAAGTATTATATAGTGTTGTAAGTATTAAGTATATACCTACCTATAAGTTTTATTGTTCGGTAATATTTAGTAAAAATTAAGTAGGTGAGTATATATGTTAAGTATTTGAAGAATGAATGGTGTTCGTGAGACTGTGACACTTAAGTAAGGGGCCTTAACATCCATGTAATATATCAGCCATTTCCCTTGATTTAATGACCTGTATATTAATAGGAGTATAGGCAGTATAGCAAAAGTGCACATAATATGTATCTTATATAATATATATATATTTTCAATGGTGAAAATTATTAGTAAAGGAGGTATATAGGGATGACCAAAACATCAAAGTCATTACTCAAACACCAAATCAAGTCCTCATTGTGTAGATAGGTACTTTAAAATTTTATTTATCTATATACAGTGGATTCTGCTTAGTATGGACAAATTGGGACCAACCCTGTTTGCTCACATTAAGCGGTTGCTCATAAATACCGAAATTAGTTTAAAAAAAAATATGATATCAAAAAAATTTTCAATTTGTTTACGTGAATCATTCAATTGGAAAAAAAAAAATGTTAAATTACTACATAAATAAAACTAAATAAAATTACTTTTTGGATTTGGAAGGTATACAAAAATTGTAATTTCTTGTTGTCTAAGCTGTTTGGTGTGGATATGGTTTACAAAAGTGGTACACGTCTCAAGCTTATCAGATAGACTACCCTATAAACTACTCTTATTACCCTTTTGTGTATATTCTAACGCTATAATAAAATAAAAATTGCCCACATAAACCGAACCGAGTGCCCTTATTAAGCGATTCTTTTGAACCTTTTTGGTATGCATTGGAATAGAGCCTAGACCATTTTGGCCATTTTCCCCATATTAACCGATTCCCACATTAAGTGAAATCTACTATATGTATATTGTTTACAATTAAAAAAATAAATTAATACTTATGTTTTTATAGGACAATCGAATTTTACATACTTTTAAAGTTATACTTACTTATAAAAGTTTTTTTTCCATTCACTTATGAGTTATTAATTATTAAATTATATAGTAAATAAAATATATATACTCAATAATCAATTATTTTCCAGTTTTTTTTAATTCAGTTAAATTTAAAAACGAATAAGAAGGCAAAACTTTACTGTTCTATTATATTTAGCGTAAAAATTAAAATGATTAAGAAATTTTTTAAATTATTCTGTGGCTACCTTCCGGTTTTTTGGTTAAAATTGTAATTTAAAAGAGGTCAATTTAAAAAAATAAATAAATTGAAAAATGAGTATAAATACCACATTTTATCTTAATTTGTTCAGTTTTTCCCAACATTGTTTTTCAAGATGTATTGGTTCACAGTAATATTATAATTTACTTACATTGTACGTTAGTTTTGCTAACCTATATTATAATTTATAATCACTGATGTTTGCGCCCTTCCCCCTTTCTTTCTTCTTTACCACGTGCGTTACTCTGCAACAGTTTGTATTACCCCTGTCACATAAATTCCCCTTCTCCACTATATGAGCGCGCGTCTCATTCGCCTAGGAAATGGTAAAAACGATAAATTTGAAAAAAAAACATGTATATTATACAAGATAAAAAAATCTATAAACGCGATGTGTCTGCGGCGTGGACCGGTTGTGTCAGTCGGAGCGTAAACGTTAGATAGATCGGCGTCGATGGTCGCGGTCCTGTCCAGTTTTATTAATAATATAATATGTATAATATTATTGTTTTATGGAATACGTACAATATATTATATTTCTATCGTGTAGTGCAAAATTAAGAAAAAATTAATTTATCAGTGTTCCATATGAAATTAACAGTATTTATTTACTATCGACAAAATATATAATTTAATATTAATAATATATTGTATATATACAAATGTCTGTGTGTGATACCATTGACCGGAGATGACGATGTCTGTTGCGATTCACCGCCGGTGTTGCTACCAATGCTACCCTACACCATCCATGCGTTACAGGTAAGTGCAAGTCGAGGACAAGTTTTGATTTATCTTTACGTACCACTTCACTTAAATAGTTTTACCGTTAATATATATAATATAATGTATGATTTAATATTATTTATTATTCAGGAAATAAAGTTTTTCAACGGCACAGTAGTATACATCATATATTATTATATTATAATAATAATAAAATAATAGTTTATAGGTACTATTTATTAGCAAAAAAACATTCAGATAAATATATGTTATTTATTATTAATAATTCTTTTTGTCCTATGAATCAATTATTTTTAAGTTTCCTTCAAATTTTGATAATTTTATTGTAATAAGTATAAATACTAATTTTTAATATCCTTTATAAACATATTATATAATTTACCTGATAGATAAATTAATATAATTTCTAATTGCAAACTGTTTTTGGTAATTATTAAAAATAATAACATTAATATTGTCTTTATTATGAGAACTTTTATGATTTATGAGTATTTTGTATCCATGTTAACTTTATGAAATACTTAATATTATGTAGAATGTATCTACTGTCTACAGTAAACCTACATTTATAAAAAGTTATTCATATTAAACTATGTGGTATACAATTCTTGATATACATGAATATTGTAATAACATATGATAATATATATTTTATTAATTAGGTACTATAAATATATTTCTACTTCCTTACGATGATTGACTCACCTACTTATTTTCAAATTTCATTTTTATGACCTGCACAATGAGTACTATTTATATATTCATTTTAATAGGTTACAGCAATCTACCTATTAATCATTTATGAGTTTATGACTGTAATAGTTTGTTTATTATATGTGATCGTAAAACCTATTTACATAAAAAATGTTATTATAGGATACTAGTGTTATTTACTTCATATTCATTTGTTGTTAAAATATCATAAAGACGACAATTTTGGTTCTATGATTTTCAAAAGTTATGTATAGCAGGCACATGATATGCAGTGGTTTCGGTGGTTCAATTCCCTTCCCAAATTTTATACGAAAACCTTTATTACTTATAAATTTTAACTTAAGATTCGTAATTTATATTGTTTATATTTATAACTTCACATCTCTTCAAATATTTTTTTCCGTACATATCTAGCTCAATTGGTTCCTAAAGGCTAAAACGTTAAAATAGAGGGTAATTCATTATGCACGATTATATCGTTTTTAAATTTTTAAGTATACTTAAGCTTTGAGGATCATATTTTCAATTATTTATAGAGTGATATATTTTTATACCATCTAAGCAATTTCCTAGCAGTATATTGTGGCAATAAAAATTTATTTATTTTACTAAAGAACTAACTTTTTTTATCATAAAATATTAAACAAAGGACTTGTTGAAAATGTTGATGTATCAAGGTCAAAATTTTAACGAGTTGTTTTTCATTTGTCAAAATGTAAATATTAATGATAATAGTCTTTAGGAACTATTTTACAAAAGTATAAAATAGATGTAATATTGGATCTAGAATTAATTTTCATATTTGTACAATTTTTAATAATCATAAAATATTGACTAGTTATTACTTTAGTAAAATTTTCAAATCATCATAGGTTCTCTCTCATATCTTCCAAATTTCAATAAATCCATACATTTTTTACTTTAAAGAAAAAAAGAATGTTTCTAATAAAAAAAAAAATTGATTCAGGAATTTAAAATAATTTTGAAATATGGTTCTACTATTGGTACTAACATAAAATTCCCAAAATTTGAATTAATTCATTATTAGAGGAGCAAATTTTAGTGATTATGCTTGGTATATATCATATATTAATCAATTAATATATGATATATATATATATTGATGTGTTTGATGATTTTGATGTGATCATGTATTATAATGTTGCATGCACTATTGTTGTTACAAAAAATAAGCGATGTATACATATCCTTATACGAACTCCACTAAATTTAATATTAAAAATATACCAAAAATCTGTGAATTTTTATACATTACAAATAAGAAAATAAACATGTAAAAAACTTAAATATTAAAAAAAATAAAAATATCGTTTAATAATTATGCAGTATAGTAACGAAGTAAAATGAATTTTTACTAAAATTTATATCTTCTATATAATCAAATTTACATGAGAATATATTTAACGTTTCAATATTTTACATTTCACATTCTTACCTTTTTATTATTTGATATTGCCGAATGTTGATATAGACTACATTATTTACCTATTAATTAGTACATTTATTTACAAGTATTCTATCTTTTAAACATAATTATCTCAACTTAAACGTTTAAAAGTACTTATACCTATACAACAATTAAGTAATATAATCACACCTAAATTTGTGTTCTTATACACCTTTAGATTAAACTTCAAATGAACTAGAATTCGTTAAATTAGCATTTAAAATATATTTATAGTTTAAAATAAATATGTTATTTTAATTTTTGAACACTACATACGCATATCTTATGAACAGCTCAATAGAACTACTTAATATATATATATATATATATATATATATATATGCATTTATTGACTGCGATTAAAATCAAACTTTTGTAACCAAATTCTAATTTTTAATATTTAAATCACAGTACTTATTAAAATAGAAGAGATAATATTATTGTTATTATAAGATAACATTTCTAGTATTATATGACGTACCTATGTTGTAGTATTGATCGTTAAAACCTTTCGAATAATGGAATTTACACGGCATCTTAAAATGGCTTTAATAGCCTATTAAACAGTTAAAGATCATATTATATGTAATTAAATAGATCAATTATGAAAGTGATATAATATATTATATATAACATATGTCGAGCAAATAATGTATGTAACACCTTGAGTTACCTACATTATATTCAGCTTGCGTCGTTTAAATTATATAGTATAAGTAATAGTGTAATATCTATACTATAATAATAATATAATATACTTAATATAGTTATACTGCATTCATACATGATGTGGTATATAACCAAGTAATTAAACTGTACTTATATTACAGAAAAAAGTCTAATTTACGTTTGGCCACCTAACACTTTTTATAGAGATGAAGTATCATCGTTTTAATATCAACGCGTTATTTAAGCTCATTATCTTATAATCACCAGTCATTATACTAAAAAATAACAGTTAATAAAATATATTTAACCTATATTATATTTTGCGTATCCTAATCGAAAATTGTTTTGTTAATTTAGTATACTAAAATATATATACTTTCAGGTTGCTATAAATATGCTTTAATATCGAAAATATTATAGATAATAATATTACATCGAAGATAAACTAGTCTTTTGTTCTTCACTCTTTAGTTGGGTATAGTTTATAAACGTTATTATAAACAGAAATTAGTTTTAAAAAATTCTGACAGTTAAGCGTACGTATTGATGAGTTAAAGAATTTATATTCTTTTGACCAATAATAAAATGACTTAAAATAAAATATTACATAGATTAAATTCATATTAATTAGTAATATATTTTAAAATTGAAATTATATTTTTACTTATACATTTTAACTATTGTCTTGTGAACTTTGTAATTATTTGAAAAAAAAAAATTAAAAAAATGTTGATTTATGCCTTTTTGAAGGGAGTTAAAAAATTGGGCTAATTTAAAATATACTAGCATCTCCTGTGAAAAAAGTCTGCGAATATCTACCAATCTATTTAGTAGGTAGTTAACTAATTTATTTTAGCTAACTATATAAAGTTTAAAAAACAGAAATATTTTTGAGGAGAAATTGAATTAAAACACAATTAATTAGTTAGTTCAAATATAACAAGGAATTCAAATGAAGAGTTAAAGTTCAATGACATTTGATTTTGATGAATAAGTATTATATAAATACCTACCAATTACCATAATGCTGTAATTAAGGAGAAGCAGAGGACTTGCGCATCTCTAAAAAATAAAAGTCTTATTCTATTATGTTTTGAAGTGAATATTATCTATAAGTATAATTTTAAAAAGTTTTTTTATATTTCTATATATTGAGGAACTTAGAGCATTAGGTTCCCTCAATGTTACCTTTTATTTTACCAGCTGATAGTTATATAATATGAAATAATTCTTAGTTTATTTATATGTTTAGATGGAACAAGTCATAGATACATAGTTATTTGATATTTGTGACACAATAATCATAATAAATAATATTATGATAATATGTATTGACGAAATAACATTAAACACAAGGGAACAACGATTTTCTTTATCTATGGGTAATATGGTTTATGAATGTAATTGCATTTATATATTTTTTGTGTTTTAACACAGGTTTAATGTTAAGTTGAGCTGTTCATAATACCATTTCGTCCTGAACAAACATATAAAAATAGTTGCATGACAATTTTACTTTGTTGAGCTGTTTTTGTTTTACTTGTTTTGCACCTTCAGTACTATTGTTATAGTTGATACCTTAAATCTACTTACATAATTACATTTAAATCGACTAAAATTTAAAATAAAAAGTTATTTACTTACTTAACATATATTTTCCAATATTATGTACTTATTGTTGTATTATAATACATTTATATTAATGTCAACCTGAAATTATTTAGTTTACAGTCGTCAATTAGTTTTCAAAAAATGATTTGAAGTTTATATTAAGTGCCTGGTTCAATAAACCAAAAACGACAAAATGTCGATTAAAATTAGATTATCAGCTGCAGTATTTTTAATTTTGATAAAAATAATAATAAAGGTGTTAATTGAAATGCAAAAGTAACAAAAAAAACTCTATTTTGATTCAAAGACGTATGAAACGATATATATTACACATGATGATACATCGAACACACTCCTTTATTTTACTTCAATAATGAAATTGTTGACTGCATGTTTATAATTTAAAATTTAAATTAGAATATTACGTCACATAATTCATTGTCCATGTATATGGACGACGGAAATTGCATACGGTACACGGAAAATAATAGCCAAATTTCATTCAAGTATGATATTATATTTAAAGAAGTCAAGTGTAATATATTATATCGAC